CATGTTTAATTATCACCGATACTCATGTTCGTATATAAAGTAAATATACATTCTTCGGACCTATAAATTTCAAACCATAACACCCACGATTTCTAGAAACCGAGCCTTAATTATGTAATGGTACCAAAAATTAAGTTAAAATTACTATTTATGGCTCATATCGATGGTTGATGTTATCATGGATTAGTGCCTTAGCATCACACACTCTCAATATATGCTTTACAGAGATGATCTTAAAATTAGAAGAGATATGCTAGATACAAACGGTTTATTTTCATCTCAAGAAGACACAAATAGGAAGTATTGCTGGGTCAATAAAAAGTCTTCTTCATTTCAATGGCAGTAATCCACGATCTTGAGACCACCGCCTACTGCCATGTGATTGTAATTATGGGGTTCAGAACCCTACGGACTTTAAGATGATTACTCACCAAGCTGCATCCATATTTTTCGACTGCAGTGTACATAACCTAAGTATGATCCAGACTTTGAAACTGCGTCCAGTCTGAAAGCCAATGTTTAACAAGCGACCCGGATATCTTGAAAACGTACATAAGAAAGCTACTCGTGCAATTAAAGAACTCCAATGTTAGCCATGCATATTGAGACCAGAAAAGTCAGATCTCTTGACTCTGTCCCACTAAATATTAGGAAGTCCAATTTTGATGTATAAATCTCTTGGAATTAACTTTGAACCCGACATCCGTTCTTTTTCTTCTCAACAGATCAGGAAACCTCAAAGCACATAGCAGGCGGGTTCAAAAATCAGAAACCACAAAAGCACTCTAGGCATATGACTCTTCGCATCTATTCGGAAACTCTTGACACCCAATATCACAAGAAGCGATGTTACTGGAACACTAAGCACTCATAGAAGCTTACCACAAAAGGACTTACATAAACCGTCAGCTTCCTATACTCAATGCACAAATCTGAATCCAGTGGTTGATAGTGATGATTCGTTATATTTCAACCAAATCAGAGTGAATATTTATTTAAGACAGAACACGGATGATCTCATACGAAACTATGCAAATATTTTGTGGCAGGAATCACTAAACAGGACAACTTTTTCAGAAACCGTAGAAGCGGCATCTTTCGCAAAATAATTTTAAAAGAGCTTGAGAGCTACCTAGGTACAATATGCAGTGAGGGAGATCATTATAAGTTCTGCTGCACGACTAATTACACTATTATTAAATGACTTGTTTGTCCTCTCTGTATAGCATAGCAGTACACTTATATCACGATGTTTACAACAAAATCTACGAATAGAAATGTGTGAGAACGCGAAATAAGTCTAAATAAGTACGACAATTTCAACAAGTAATCTTCTGTGACTTATATTATGGCAAAATATAAACATGAACGCCATCAAATTCACATGAAATTCAGGAAATCCTCACCTGAATGAACTTAAAAAATGAATAGACTATTCATCAATTTGGCATTTGAACAGATATTCCATAAGATTTAACGAGTAAAAAAATGTTAACAACAAAAGTCTTCATTCGGTGGTCAACACGTTAAATTGCCGCCAGAGCCGTTGTTAGAGCAACAGGAAATAAAATCCAATATCCAACATCTTTGAGACAAACTAATATAAAGCAAATTGATCTTTCAGTACTCTGCTCTTAGCGTTTCAATACTACCCCTGGTCTTTGTCAGCATCCCATGAGTTTAGTCATGATACTTGACTACGCCCTAATGAATCAGACGGTTTTTCGGGGATCGGCAACTGCCACGTTACCTTAACTCAGTCAAATCAGAGGTCACAGATGAATGATTTCGAAGATATATTAAATGGGTTGTCTATATATTGAAAAAATGTTTGGTCCAGGCCAGCTAGCAGTTGCAAGGAGTGAGTAGCACAGCATACGCTTTTGTGGTCAGTTGTGGATGCATGATCAAGCGCCTTTTGTTGGTGTGCTTCTAGTAAAACTAATTAGGAAAGCACCAGCGACAGAGACTTGCAAAACTAAATATCCCAGGGTTTTTTAACAATACAGATTTCTCTACCTCTTATTGAGGTAGGGATGTTACTGAGTTTTGATCAGCTAGCAGTTCAAACCCAAAGAGCTTGTTGTTAGTAGGCCCTGCAGAATCTGGCCCTTTCCCATTGATGTAAGGAGACACGTATCACTAATCACCGATGATAAATATACAATGAAAAATTCGATTTATCGTATGCTTCGTCGGCTTTAATACTTTCCAGTAGTCTTGAAAACAGGAAAAAATGAAAATGTACGTGCATGCCAAAATATTAATATACTTTTTTAAGGATGAAGACGTGGAAAAAATCCTACGAATATGCATATGCATATCATAAGATACTACGAGTAATTTTCACACAAATGTGTTTAAAGATGCCACGAATATTGGGAGTTTGACAACGCCTTAACCAGTAACACACTTATTATCGAAGCATAACGACCCAGTCAAATCAGAAGTCAGGAACGAAGAATTTCAAAGGTACATTTGGAAGGCCATAGGTATGTCGAAGAGAAGTTTGGTAGTACTATGTACCTATTCATAATCCGGTGCGAATGAGTGGCCTTAGCGCCTTCAGATAGGTGAACCCTGTAAAACTAATGCAATCAGCATCAAATGCCAAGGCTTTGTAGGGTTATTGACTTTAAGGATCTATTTACAGCTAATTTATCTGTCACAAAAGAAAGCTCCCCTACCTGTTCCCATCTATTTAGTAAGTGGTTTCATGGTTGTCGAAGATAACTCGTGCTAAAGATCAGTGCCTCCTTTTTGAGGCTGAGTGACTTTAGGAAGGTCGAATCCTTGGAAACGGTTCAGGTACTTCATGGCGCCTGTCACTATGTCGTTTGCACTGGAAATGTGTTGTGTAACTGAAGTTCAGTTGTCGAGACTCTGTAAGGGAGTACTTGTCTGAAGATAATCTTACAGAGAAGGTAAGGGGTCTGTGATCGGTGTAAAGAGTGAATTATTGGCCTTCAACAGAGTGTTTAAAGTACCGTACAACACAATTCATGTCTAGAGTTCCCTACCGAAAGTGCCAAAACTAATCAAGATCTCAAAACCAGTCATGGAACAAAACACAAACAACTGCGTGATTACACCAAAATCAGTGCCATACTTTAATTCGGACTCTAACGACCGTCTTGGGAAGAATGCCATAGGTTGCCAGCTCTGGTTAACCCATTGTTGTAAGACTCCTCCGACTGCTAAGTTGGATGTATCTAATGAGATACTGATGAGTGCTTTTGTGTTCTCCTGTGCGATCAATGTTGCCTAGCGATAAATTCATTAACTGTAGGGAATGCTTTTCGCAATATCGTACAAATTAATGGATTCTGCATTCCCTTAATGTCAGTCAATTAAAGGCCACATAAGAGACGCACATTTCGATATCACCCGTCGATAGAAACTTATCAGACCATTAGACGTGCGTAGTTGCTTGATTGTGATCGATTCTGGGTAATCCGGAATGGCCAACATTTTTATTTTTTGAAGTCGAATGCTTTGAAGATTAATAGTATGTCCGAGGAAATCTAAGGAGACGGTGCTAATCCGACATTTCTGAATGTTCAAAGAAATGCCATGTTCATGTAGTTGTTCGAAAATAAGGTTTAAATACTGGATATGAGATTCTCTATCCAAACTTGTAGTCAAGTGGTCATCAACATGCAAGTGTGCGAAGGTGAGACTTCGAAAACCGTCGTCAATCAATCCCTTGTAAAGCTTGTGCAACGTTTCTTAAACTGAAAGGCATGCGCAGAATTCGTACAGTCCAAAAAGATTGATGATATTCGTCTTAGAAATGTCGTCTGCAGCCATGGAAACTTGGTTATATGCTCCAACCAGATTGATTCTCGGAAAAAAACAGTTGTACTTTTCAAGGTAGCAGCCAAGTCATGGGTGTGTCATAAGAAGTGACAACCGGGAATGGCTTTCGTATTGATTCGACAACATCCGGCTCTCGGACGCCAATCACTGCTGTCTTTCTTAAGGTAACATATACTAAGTTAGTTATGGGTGTTTGGTAACTGCATAATCATCAAATCGATCATATGCCGACCGACATGCTTTCAAGAATATAGCTGGGTCTTTCGTCGTGATGTGGTGTGCAACATTCCTAATTACACTCAGTTGTTTCAGCCGTACTTTGTGTTACTTCGTGATACTTTACGAGTGTCCGTTGGACGTTTAGGTCGATTATATACTTGACTAAGACTTAGCATAACTTACGACCAAAACGTAAAGTCCTATAAACACAGTTTAGTTTTTTACACTAACATTCATTTGCCCTCTAAAATCTGGTGATCTCCAGGATCCGATCGAAGGATGTATTTTGCTCGCCAACAACGTAATTAGGAACCGAAATGAAAACCACTTGCACATTTTTGGGTAGCCTAAGTCGTCTAAAGAGGTCTTCATTGAAAGTGCGTTGGACAGTTACCTCCCTCATACGTCGCAACACTTCTGTTGCTCGACCGTGTCTCATTTTTTGTGTTGTAAAAGAGTTGGTTTAACCCTTGTCAATCGGATAGCCCTTCTACGTTAAAATATCGTAGGGCTCCGAAACATCATTAGTAAGTATACTAGATATAACTTGTCTTTTAAAAGCACTCAGCAGTGAAGGAATTGCTGCAAGGAATTGTGTGCGCGGTTTTATCGCGCCGTGCCCGCGGACGTCATTTCCTGCATAGCAGAACCAGGCCTCCATATTACTAGGCAAAAATATAATGAGCTGAAGCGTGTGAGGTGTAGGATTCGAAACCTATACCATCATATAGATGGTGATAAAAGGAAGACGAAGTAGGTAGGTGTGATGACTAGGAGTATCTGAATTATTATAAAAACTAGGAATCCTAAAAATAACTCAGTATAAACAAGAAGAACTAGATGAACATAGACGAATGTATCATATTGGGGATTTGAAATCCGGCAGTCATCAAGTACAATGGAATCATTAGTTCATGCGAACATCAAGGTAGGAGAGATATTGGAGAAAACAACGACAACAACAACAACAATAGACTTTTATTATCATTATTCACAAACAGTTTATGGGTACATAAGTGTTGTGAGGAAATCATTTCGGGTTTCTTTAGAAATGCAATAATACCCACGTTTCACGAACGTCAGCACAATGTTTGCCATATTTGAAAAAACAGGTTCTGTGTAGTTGAGAAGAATATTGAGTTGACTTCAAAGAAGGATAGGGAGAAAAAAGGAGAATAGAAATGAAAGAAACGCGAAATATTTAAGTGGTTTATTAGGCGTGTTTGTAAACACAGGACAAGAATAAGCGACTATGTAATCCACGTGAAACTCATTAGGCAGGACAAATATCTGTGAAGGGGTCATGAGTATGAGTAGACTATAATGTATGATGATATTCAGTGAGATACTAGGAATACACTAATCCCGTCATGAGCAAACCTCTCGGTGCTCAATATTCTAGAAATTATCAGGCAAAATCTTACATGGGATAACCCTCATGTTAATTTTTTACTCCAAAGAAAGGTTTAGGCTTTACACTGGAACCCTTGTCCCTCTATATGAGCTTCCAGTATAAATTTCATCCAGTTTAATTAATAAAAGAAACATAATTCTCAGTCATGCTCGTTTCTGTCTTTTCATAGTGACGTCTCAAAAATCAATGTCTAATAGATCCATTTTCAAGTTTATTCAAGCAGCAAATTAAAATCTACTAATGAAGTTATATATATTTCATATGTTTCGCTACTTTAAACATCGCTGGCGGAAACATTCCAATAAAACACATTTGCCTGATTTTAACAAAAAGCAGCTACAGTTCTATAGATAATGGGTTGTAATAATAATGACAACGTTGGATAAACATTTCAACTTAAATTTAGTACATTTTGTACTCATCCACTAGCGGTATTCGTAAAACATATTTCGTCGTTTGGAGGTGCCTGGATCTACGGGGTGATACTCAGATTGAAACACGAACCAAGTATACATCAACTAACTAGTTTGTATAGTTTATTGCACAACGACTGAATGACTTTCATTACGTAAACTTCCAAACTTAAAAAGATATCCTTACGATTTTATCTGAAACATCTTCCAATCTTTTCTATATACTTGATCCAACAATGAATGGTTATTTGGCTTCATAACCCTTCAAATCATGAAATTAGATTTTCAATAACTGAATTTTAGCTAGTATAATCAGAGATGTATGTATATTCAAGGAAATAGCTGAAAAACTCACTTATAAAAGGTCACACAACGGTATTATCGACCAGTCAATAGCTTATTAATTCAACGCAAAAGAACTAACTGCTGAAGAACACTGAATAATACATATGTTCGATATCATATATGATCCGCTTCCGGAAAGTTGGTAGATAGCGCACTGTTTATGGAAGAGATATCGTCAGGTATTCCTGCTAAAGGACTGTCTTGAAAATATACTAAGAATCTGCTAATCAGCTCGGACATTTCACAGTACAGTAATCAAGATGACATTGACACTACCATCATGAAGGCATTAAATCTCAATATCTCGTTTAAAGATACACTCTCCTCATTACACTTGTAGGTCCCATCAATATCTAAGACATATGGGATTCAAAAAGCTATTTTTTATATACAGTTGAAAAAAGTAGCATTTCAAACAACCGTTAACTTTAGGATGCATCTCATCTGCACCTTCAAGCTCAATGATATATGCAATTAAGCTCTTAGGATCACTACTTAGTAGAAATAATGGTCTAAGTTAAACTGACCTTTAGTTTTTCATTCTTCAAATAAATGTCGTTACATATCAAAAACATCTTTGACGATTAGTTTTCCGTAATTTTCATCAACAGAATCTATAAAAGCAAAAGTTGCAGCTCCGGACACAAATAAATGACGAGTCGCGTTTTTTCGGCCGGCCGCCGAGTGAAGGAAGCTAGGATCTTTCTCATAGCTGATGCCCAGTAACTCGCGTTTGACCGGTTGACCATTTAGATATTGTATAAAACCCTTATATAACCCCAACAAATAATATATGATTCACAACCACTACAAACAAGTCATAGAGATCAAAAGCTGAAGAATTTACTTTAAACCAACCTTCGTATCCCTTGAGAACTTGTTGGTCGCTGAGAGTAACCCCTCCTTTTGAATACATATATTATATAGAACTCATTTGGATTTCAATGACTGTCTCGTATCATGAAACGGTAAAAAGTAACATTTTCATCATCTTTCTGTTGCCGCAGGAGATCCGGTTTAGTCGAGAACCCTATGTTAGATCCAGATATTGAACTGGTTCAATGTCTGTTCCAGTAGTGAAACTCTAGTCACACACTTCCAATTTCGATAATTCAAAAAAATGGTCATAACTTTTTTAATAACGTAACACACGTTCAAAATAGATCAGAAGACACCCAAGAGAGGTACTTAATGGTACTCTATCTAACTGGTACAGACACCTGATAAAACCCACTTGTCACAACTGGAAAAAAATACTCCCATCATTAAAAAAAGCATCCTATCCAAGGAAGAGATGTATATCAATGAAGTTTGATCCAAATATGAGAAATCAAAAGTAAGCAATAGAAAATGTCGCTAAAACTAACGAGAGAATGTGTTTCGAAATTAACCTCAAGAAATAGAAACGATCTGTCCACGAAGTATCATCAAAAATATGATTGTCCGATTCGGCTAGCGTCATAAAAAAACAATGTTACGTAAAATAAAGATAAAACGGTTAATAAAAGACCCAGTAACATCAAGGAAATAGTAAGGATTCAGAATTTGTAGACAACATAGTATTAATAACCGCAGTCAAACTCACAAATGGGAATCAATATAGAAAATTTAGACAAAAATAAAAGAAACAGTACATATTACAGAAATACAGAGTCATAAGTAAAAACAGACCTGGAGGGATTTTCTCCATATCTTCAGATGAACATATAAAAAATGAATTCTACGTTGTGCACTAACATACATCTTTCTAAAAATCATATCAGCTTCACCTGGCTGTCAACAACGCCGACTAGAACTGAGTTTGCCGAACCAAATTCTTTACTTTTATAGGTCCAATAACACGTATTTCATTGGCCAGTTGAAATGATGATTCTGATTGTCGGGAGAAGGGCACAGCTGAGTGGAGAGGAGTATGAAGTTTTAAAATAAGTTTTGTACACTTTTTCTGTTCAGAACATGTTGCTCTTCTCTTACCAACCTAGGCTATGATTCCAAAATGATTTGACTAGATTACATGAAATCGATTTCTTAATATCTCACTCATTTTGAATATTACCCTACTACCAACAAAATGATATACTCTCAAAACATTTTGGCATTTGTACGAACTATTTTGTAGTACTTATTGATTATCTCTAAGACTCACTGTTATAAAAGAACTAGAAAATTATATGAATCAATACCAGGAAAATATCAAAAACTACAAAGATGTACTTATTATATACCGAAAAGTGGGTCAAAAGTTTATCTGGCAGTACTGATTTTTATTTTATTACACTGATAAACATCCATATTTGAATAAATTTAAGTGGACAGTACTAGATATGAATAGGTAAAAATGTGGAAACAAAGTTTCCAATATCCTAATATGAAACTAATGTAAACAAAAAATGTATTTGTTTATTTGTTCCTTTTTAATATTTACAAAGATCGTTTTTAGAAAAACCTCATCTAAAAGGTAGGCCAGTCCAGAGAAATGGTATTCGTTAGCAAATTATGCCTAAATATATTTTAACAACAACACTCATTATTCCAATCCATAAAGAACTGGTTATCTATTTTCCATACACCATCTATACGTTAATTTACTTATTAGAAATACTTCAATGGCTTTTATTTTAAATCAGTGAAAGATAAATAAAAATTGCTAGTACGGTCACATTAGAAATAAATAGAAACTTTAGGATTATCGATTTTTCCTTGTTCATCATTTATTATAAGGTTTTAACAAATACTTCATGGTCTAACATTTGACCAAGATCAAATATCGTAATTTAAGCAAATAAAATTATTTCTAAAGTAATTTCATATCACTGGATTTATTGCTATCTTTTTTACAAATCATTTGATGTGGATACACTAAGAACATAAGCATTCTAAAACCAAGAATCATCTTTAAAATTAAGAACGTTTGAATAAATTAGATTTTATTCACTTCAGAATTTTGTCAAATGTAGTAATTGAAACTTTGAGTACCTTCCAGTTCAACGTCACATGTAATTTTATTACCATACATTTCAATGATCCTATTTCAATTATAAACTATATACCTATTGTTATGGTATTTAGGTTAGATAATACCATTTTAAACAAAAACAATTGATGCTTTTAGGATGACTTTTTTATGGATAGCAAGACTTTTATCATTCCCTATAGTAACTAAATAAATGTCTTGTCTGACTTTCAGTTATTTTACTTTGTTTAATTTCACTATTATGGTTGCAAATAATTTGATGTTCTACATTTATAACATGGCTAACAACAAACATCGATTTATTAATGGAATGGAATATTTTGGCATAAAGCAATTCCATAATAACTTTAGGACTTTGTCAATTTCGGCAGTTATCTAATTGGTATTTTCCATACATTGAAATTATGATCAAAATCTATAAAAATATATCTACTTAACTTTTAATGTAAAGATATTTTCAATGTACAGTTGTTCTTAAGATGTAATTTACAAAAGAGATTACTTTTTTTTAAGTGTATTACATTTATTTATGATAAAATATTATCCATACAATTTTTTCGACTGAACCAGTTAGAAGTAAATGTCAAAATCGTTTATTCATATTTTCTTACCCCTAGAATTGTTTTGTATCTTCATAAATAAAAATAAAGTGAATGAATCCATGTCCAGATGTGACTTTCTGCGATTAGTCTAAATATTGTACATGCTTTCATACAAACGTACTTGTATGCACACAATTGTACACATATATGTATTCTGTATATTACACACATATTAGACACATACGTGAATGTAAATACAAAGATACAGAAAATATATATCAACATTCTTGACTATATTCTTTCATCTGATTAAAGATCTTCATACTGAAAGGATATAAACTTATACTGTAACAGAATTACAACTGAATCATGCATAATATTTAAACAAATTATAGATTAAATGAATATCTAAGTACATGATATTCTGTAGTTAATTATAATCATAATCTTTACCTTCCAAGTTCTTGATAAACATGACGAAACAAAAACGTTTTATTACATTTTATTCAACCATTATACTAATATTGGTTTCGAATTTTGTGACTGGTAAGTAATAGATGATAAATGTTGAAATTAAAAAATAAAAAAATATAATGTTTTTGTTATATATTATGGTACTTCCATGCATTTTTCTCCTCTTTGTAATTACAATTTTTTAAAAGTAGTGAATTGTAAATGTGATTGGAAATTGTCATCTATAAAAATACTGTTGAAATGATAAACAAAATCAACTGTAAGTTACTTCTTTAGAGAATAAATATTTATTCTCTGAAGAAGCAACTTACACTGAGTCACGAAACGTTAGAAAATCTAATGTTTCTACTCATTTGGATATTACAAATATATATGAATTAATTTACTTATAACAATCTACTCAATGCTCAATTTATTCGAAATTATCAAGTCAAACCTTGATATTAACACCTAAAACGTCTACTGTAGTTATGAAAGTCTGCCAATTTCATTAAAGATAATAAGTTGTTAATTAGTGAACAGAAGTATTGAAAGAATTCATCAGTAAACTAGCTTCTTTGATAAATATCGTTTTAATTATTGTATATAAATATATTACAATGTTTTTGTTGAATGGTAATTCTATTCAGATATTTATTTTAATAAAGAATTTCACATTATCAATCATCGAAGTTTAAATATGATTAACCCTAGAAACTAGGAATCACTTTAGTTCTATCTTAATAATCACAGTTCAGGCATGTAAAATGGCTTAGTTTTTCAACTAGTAACTATGCATTTTCATTTAACCATAATCAATCAATAAATAAAAAGTTCGAAAATCAAAATTATCTACCTTTAATCAGTAAAATTTCTATAAATAAACTTTTAAAATATGTTTTCCATAAGTTTTGCATTTGTATTTAATTTGGAACTAATAGTTTCAATCATCTACTGATACTTCATGAAGTATTGATAAAAGCATATGATCATGGAGAGTAGTTTGTCCTAGTTTGGAGTTTTTCAGTAGTATTCATCTATAAACTTTAATTTTTATTGTTTATTAGTGTTGCTTTTTTTAACAATTGACCTGGAATAGAGTGATCACTTTCAGTTGCATAAAATAGAGTGTGACTATTAGATAATCCTACTAGATTTTTAATATTTATCAAAATTCTTTCAGTCTGTGTTGAAAACTATCCTTAAATTTGACTAATCTCTATCAATCATTTTAATAATAAAACAACTAATTAGTTATATAATTCCTTCATTGTACTAAGTAATCAAAAATTCAAGATTCAAGTGGTTCATAGATGTTTTTTAAAATTGTCTGACGATAAGTTACCTTAAGATTATTGAGTATTTTCATTTGTTTCTGGTGTAATTCCGCTCGCAAGAAATAGTTACACAATGAGAATCAATAAGAGACATGAAGCCAACTAAAAAAGCAAACAGAAATATTCATCAATTCTAAATAAAAAAATATTTTTTGTAATATCCCAATGAGTAGAAAGATTAAATCTTCTGACGTTTCGTGCTTTAGTGTAAGTCACTTCTTCAGAGAATAAATAACCAAATCAAAATTATTCCAAGTTTAAATAGTACAACAGAACAATAAGAATAATAACATCAATTCATCAATTCATTCATTATGGGAAATGAAACGATGCTTAGGAAAGTTAGCTTTATTTAAATGATCGAATTCAGTTTTCTACTCTAGCATGATTGAAACTAATGATTTAAAAATCATAGTGAGAATTCTTAGTATGATTAAAGCTTTACTAATTCGAATATTTTTAATTTATAATATAGCGAGAATGAATAAATGTGATAAACATCTCTGGTGTAGTCCAGCTCTCTAAACTGGGTAGTTTGCTCATGAAGCTTTTCTTGTTCTTCTACATAACATTGTCAGAGCAAAGTACAAATATTAGTTCAAACACAACTCCATGACAATTATCCTGCTAAACTAAAATCCATTTCTACCCCCATATATGATCCTGCGAACAAAAAAGAAAACTATATATTAACTGAAGTTTATTCCAATGTAATTCATTAACAGATTCGTAAATAAAAAAATTGTTGTTAAATGTCTATCAATCTACTACATTTAAAATATTCAGTATTCAGTATTTAATCTTAACTAATATTGACCTAAATTCATTTAAAGAGAGAAAGTAAAAACTTTTTTTGATTGAGATAATGAACCGATTGATGTTAGACCACCTTTGGAAACCTGAAAGCACTGGACGGCCGTTTCGTTCTATTGTGGGACTCCTCAGCAGTGTGCATCCACGAAACGGCCGTCCAGTGCTTCCAGTTTTCCAAAGGTGATCTAACATCAATCGGTTCATGATCTCAATCAAAAACTTAATAATCTTCACAATCCCTATACTAGTAAAAACGTTTTATTGTACAATTGAATTATCATTTTAAAACGATTACTTCACTCAAAATATCCTAATCCGTATAATTCAACTTTATCATTTATTAGTTATCACTGATTAGTTATTCTTTTTCAGGTAATTACTTACAACTCATCATAACGTATAATCTATACGTGACATGAAGACTAAGTGAATGATTTTGAGTATAACATTATTATAAAACACTTATGATTTAGATCTAATGTAATATTGAGTAAATTTTACCCGAAATTTATTTACAATATCCATAGCATTACAAACTTTTATTATTTAGGAACCGCGTATTTTGAGTTTTAAAACTGTTTATCATTGTTGTTCATTAATCATTGTTCGAAAAGTTTGATTTTATTCCCAAATATGACTTTTTCAACAACAACAAAATCAATAATTTATACTTGATTTTGTATTTGAGTAATTCTAATTAAACGATTATGATTAAGAATCGATCAATAAATTAATGAAGAAAATGAAAATATCTTTATTTCTATGATATGAACTTTCAAATTCGATTACTCATTGAGTACCATAAATGAAATAATGATTTTATAACATTAAAAAGTCCCGTGTTGTAAACTTGAACAACATGTAAACGAACAATCTGGTTCATCAGGTTTGACTCTAATATACAACAACATTTATATGTATCTATGAAGATATCAAAACAAATCAAGAAAGTTCATAAGTTAACAATAGCAACGAAGTAGATGACGTAACTAGGCGTAATAATTAAAAAACACAAACTGATTGTATAATGACAGGCATACCATTTGTGATAATAATAATAATAATGATAAAGGGTTAAACTGATATTTCCATAACAGGAAGTAGGTCAAAGACTTGAAAATATTAACATGGAAATAATGATCATTCATTAAAACTACTTAACAAGAAGTGTTTAAATAAATGGGTAGTGAAGAATATATCCCACAAATGTATGAAGAAAAGACAAACGAACAATGGATATAGAAAAAAATATCTACTAATGAGGCATGACATTAATCACACATTATTAATTCATTGAATATTTGACTGATATAATTATTTTGAACGAACCATTTTTTTTTTAAGGAAAATGGAAACATTGTTTTCTGTTGTCGATGTACATATTAACCCACTACATTAAAAAATATTGGCGGATCATATTGATGTGGATATAAATAAAATCTATAAATATATACATCAGCCTTTATGTAGAATAACAGTTTCGTACCATTAATTCAAAAAAAATTGTAGTGAACTAGTTTATGGAACGTAATAGACGTAATTCAATTACTATTTTTCCATAACTAAATACAGCTGTTTTTATTCCGAACTATTTAGGTTACAAAGTCAACTACTTCGATTAGCCTATTCTTACAAAACAAAATATTCTATAATGAACAAGCAGATAATTTCAATTATCTTATTGATTTATTTTATTAATTTCGTATTTAAATTCAGCTCAGATATCGTCTCCAAATGAAGCACTTGGACCTCCTGGACCGAGGGGTGATCCAGGGCCACCTGGTCCAGAAGGCGGAATCGGAGCACCAGGTTCTCGTGGGCCACCTGGTCCGCCCGGAATAGATGGTGAACGTGGGCAGGCAGGACCTGCTGGGACTCCTGGGACACCGGGACGCGATGGGAGACCTGGAGTCCCAGGAGTTCAGGGCTCACCTGGACCTCAAGGGATTGTTGGACCACCAGGAGAACCCGGGGGTGAGGGAAGTCCCGGACCACAAGGTTATCAAGGTCAAACAGGAGACAAAGGTGATACTGGCTTTGATGGGCATAAAGTGAGTCTTATCATAATAGTGATACATATTTTGTTTTTACGGAGACTGATGTGTGCATCTTTCTGAATGTTTATTAAACCATAATTCTTCTAAGTATTCTTGGTTATAATGAATAAATTTGAAGTTTAGGTAATAACACAAGTATTCAAACAAGACATACTGAATATATTCATATGCATTCAATGTTCTACGATCAGTGCTTTATTAACAGACATAATTAAACAGAGATTAATTGTGAAGATTTATAGTGATTTTTACTATTATGAGACAGAGGGAAAGAAGATGTAATTTAGCTGTCGAATCTACCAATTATATATATTTGTATGTGAAAACCAAGTTGTCCCCTTTGAACCAATAAAGTATTATCACTACATAATATAGAATACATGTAAGTTTAAAATGTATTCAACTTGATTAATGCACAAATATGATCCATCTACGATAGACATTTTCATTTTTTTAAAGGAGGGGACTGATTATATTATCTAACTGATTGAATCAAAGCAACTAAAATAATAAAAAATTCACAACACAACGGAACACAGTGGAAAGCGCTTAGTCACCAATTTACCAATCTTTATTAGATAAACAGAAATATCACTAGCTTTGTTAACTTACTGAACATAGAACTTCCCATAAGCTAGTAGCTCGGTAGAAAATATCGCATCTCTGTGTGACATAAATATTGTCGCCCACTAAAATTTAGGCTATCTCATCTTTAATTACTTTGAGATTATCTTTGAGTGGAGAAAACTAAAATACCTTCATAGTAAACCGTATAATGAGGATTCTCAAAATGAAAATCATCTGATTCTTTATAGGTGACTAATTTCTACTGTTCTTTCTCTTAACCATCTAGGGTTCTCAAGGACCTATGGGACCACAAGGACCTCAAGGACCAACGGGACCCGTTGGCCCGCCAGGTCCCATGGGTCCACCTGGACCCTCTGGTCCAAGAGGTGAATCTGGTCCGACTGGAAGAGCTGGAGTGATGGGACCGCAAGGTCCAGTAGGTAACCCTGGAAGACCTGGGGCATCAGGACCTGCTGGACAGAAAGGGGATCGCGGTTTGACTGGAGCAAAAGGAGAAAAGGGTGAAAAGGGTCCTACAGGAGCACCAGGACATCCAGGATTAAGCAAAGAACGTGGGATTCAGGTAAATAAGTTATGAATGATCAAATTATGCTTGGCACTACTTTAATGTGCTACCTAAAATATTTTACATAATTAGCATAATATGTATGAAAATGGTGTATATCGTAACAAAAATAGCATAAATTATTTGGCGAAATTGTCTAAAATTCACTTAAAGTATGGTAAAATATTACTATTGAAATAATTAAACAGCCTTAATCTTTCTTCCTTTATCAGGGTGAAATCGGTCATGATGGACGTCCAGGTGTTCGAGGTGAACCAGGTCAAAGAGGACCAGAAGGATCCATGGGAGTAGCAGGAAGACCGGGGGAGAGAGGGACGATGGGACGCTCAGGACTTCAGGGTCCAAAAGGGGCACAAGGTGAACCAGGTTCAGTTGGAGTAGAAGGGCCGACAGGAATCCAGGGTCTTAAGGGTGAGAAAGGTCAACTTGGACGTCCAGGTGAACGTGGAGAGACCGGGCCACGTGGTGAGCGGGGACCTATGGGCCCTATAGGAATCAAGGTAATGACAACATCGTATTTTAGATGAAGTTTCACTGACTGTTAAGGTTTCATGATATGACCCACCACCAGATAGCTAATGTGAAGCTATTTTCAGAAGACTGTAAAGAGATTATATATTAAGCTAACTTTTAGACAAATAACCTTAATTAGCAGAGTCAAGCAAATCAAAAATTAATTTCAATAAACTTAATTAATAAGGAATCATTACAGATGGATAAATTCTCTAACTCTAGAAAACTAAGTTACACTTGTTAAATATCAACACCTTTTTGTCTCACTTTTTGTGTAATCAAAATTGTTTGATGTATATTTTGTACCCTCCAATATTGTTATCGGATGAAAATGTTTGTAACGCAAAGAACAGTGAGTAAAAACAGAATATTTTCTTAAAATACCAATTCATGAGTCCCCTAGGCTGTAAACCACAACTACAAATAGTTAAGAAGAAATACGCAGTTTATGTTAAGACAAGTCAAGCGGTCTTTTAATACTCTGGATCAACAAATATACTAGCAGTCTTGATACGGTTATTTTTGTTATGATAATTACTACTAATAAATAAATCCACAGAATCGGAGTGAATATACCGAAGTAAAACTTCACTAAATTGACATTCATTGTGTTGAAAAACTACCAAATGTTTTTATATTCATAATTACAACTCGTCTACTAAACGATAAACGTTTTTAACGAATCTTGTTTCATAGACTAGTCAGAATTGTATAGAATACTTTATTATTTTGTGATATAAGCGGGATTACAAGAAACTTAAATATGTACCTTCCAGTAGAGATGCAATGACCTTCATTTCTTAGAGTTAATAAAAAAATTAATAACCAATTTTTTAAATCCACTCACTAAAACCAGTAGTGAGTCTACACAGAAAACTGTATTTAACTGTATATGAGCTAACAATCGTGAAGACCTTATCTAGAATTCGTATTTGTTTATGTATTAAACATCACAATTTTTACTGATCTAATTAAAGTGTGGTGTTTACTACTGATATCGATAGATATGATTAGTATGTAACATCAATCGAAAGTGAAATATCTGGAGGCAGAATGTTAAGAAGATCGAAGAAAAGAGATCGAGAACAGACAATGATCGGTGTAGAAACTAAGGAATAATGAAGTCTGAGACGACTGATTGATATTTTGCAAATGACTTAATTACTGTATGGTTCTCAGGTTTTCCTAAGACATTCTGTAATTTTGTATTCAAATACAATCCTATTGTCCTCACTTATGTTCTCGTTCACTACAAATTTAGTGTTTGATACTCTTTAAAATTACAAACAGTCTTTAGTGATTAGTTTCATAACATGAAAAGTAAGTTTAAAACTTCATAACAATTGACTATAAGCTTTCATAATAAGATTTTAGCTTACGGTTACTTCCAATAGATAAATGACATCCGCATGAAAACATAAAAATAATAAATGTTTCGCTGACATAGTAAATACATTGATTTTTATACTGGAATATTTAGTAACAATAAATAAAAGTAAGTAATCTATTTGTAGTTGAATATTATTGATTAAAAAGTATTTTTAATCCTTTAACAGATAATTACCATGCAATTCAAAATGTAATCAGAGAGGGGTTTTATGAATATTATAGTAATTTAATAGTTGAATTCATGAGTTAATTAAAGCTAGACCACCGTGGAAAACCTGGAAGCACTGGACGGCAATTTCGTCCTAGTACGGGACTCCCCAAAAATGCGCATCTATGATCCCATCTCGCCGTGACCAGTGGAGTTCAATCGGGTCTGTTGTGAAGTAGTAACTCAATGAAGACAATGGTGGACGGTGGAGCGATTTCGTGGGCCGGTTGGAGATCAACATTAGCAACATTGGATGCCGGCTCAGTGGTCTAGAGATTAAGCGTTCGCGCACGAGACCAACATGTCCTGGATTCGAATCTCGCGAGGCGTGGTTGTGGATGCGCACTGTTTGGGAGTCCCATACTGGAACAAAATTACCGTCCAGTGATTCCAGGTTTTTCGTGGTGGTCTAGCTTCAGTCAATTCATGAATCCAACTCTGAATCTAAAATCGAGCTTTTCTTTTTAACAATATTTTCAGAAATTTATTGAAGCTCAAAATATACTTTCATCTAATCAACAAAACACAGTCTCACTCATTTAATGTAGATATTTCTCAGTATTAAGGGTATTTATCAAAAGTACTTGTGACATGATCTAGTTTTATTCTTAATATCTCAGCTTCATATGCTACCAACTATTGATTTCAAAGTAAATTCTATGTTTTGTTATAGACATCACCACATTAAGTTTTTTCCGGAAATAGCATAAACCGAAGAAAAATGAGAGAAATCACACAACTTTATTGATCCTTATTTTTTTCACTAGCTTTTGTATGTGGACCAAATTCCTGTTAAAATATTGTAAATAATTCAGTTCGACTAAATGAGAGTTAGCCTGTTACATATCAGTAAAACTCTATATTGCAAATCAACTCAAGTTAAAAATTTACTTGATTGAGTTTAGACTACTTATTTTAAAGAACTGTGTTACCCATAAAAATTTAAGGTCTAGAGTATATACTGTTAATGAGTTTCATATCAAGATGATGCACTTTTTCATTGATATCTGGGTTTCAATAACTGACTAGCTGATATTAGTTTTCGATCAAAAATATACCCAAATAATGAATGAAGGATTAACCCTATATGAATCAAACGGATAAAATCAATAAAATTCTTAGTATCAATGATTTGGTTCTCATATTCAAGTGGGAAAGTCTAAAGCAACAAATAAGATATAATACCCGAGTTTATAAATTCATACCTTTTAAAACATTAGCAGTAAGTAATGCACTAGCATTTGGCTAATGTAACTCTTACACTGAATTACCAATAAATGACTTAAATTTATTTGGAGATTCTTTCATTTTTGAGTAATCAAAGTTATTTATTCATAACACTGATAATCCATTACAATACTCATGATCTGTAAACTTAACTACCATCATCTTTTCATCAGTAATAAAAACTGAATTTCAGTGAATATCTCTCACTTCTTTTTTCACCTAGAACTAATTCTACTAATTAAACACTGAAATGATGATAAAACAAGAAGATGCCAATTATTTGAATAAAAAAAGTCATATCCTATCAATAAAATATCATATTCATTATTGAAATAAACAGTCATTCCATTTTACCATATTTCAGTAATTATTGCCAATTTTGTTTAAATCAATTAAATTTATTCATTTTCAAAATTCCATAGAACATGTAAATTGAATGAACAGTAGAATTATTAACCTATAGGAAACAATCCAAATGGTTCCTTCTTTTTGTTTTTTTTTTAAGATAATCAATTCTTTGGCATTTTCAACAACAACAAAAAAAAGGGAAATCTATTCTTAAAATAATAGATATGATCATCCTAACTAATGGACATTCGTCTATTTTTCTTTTATAGATTTACATTATATTATTTTCTTATTTTCATTTGTCCTTAAATTATGTCGTAGTATCATAGATTGTACCACTTAACTGACAAATACATAGAAAGTAGTTTTGTAACAACTAATGGACTAACTGGAATATTATTTTCTTTTTTTGGCCTCAGTAAATCACTTAGTCCAAAAATGTATTATTCTACTTTTCGTTACTAAGATTGATGATGATGATGTTATTTATTAAACAAAAGTCAAGTTGTTGTTATTGTATTTTTAGATATGATCACAGACTAGTCGAAGTGATCAGTTGATCAAGACATACATTCAATTATCTATCAATTACATAAGAAACATTATTTCAACTATTTGAAAACTATCTAGAATAACTTTAATAACTACATTAAGTATTTCAGACAAGCAAAGTCGTAGTTATAATGTGTCTCGTCTTCTAACTATATCCATTTTTTTAAGTCTAACCAAACAGGTAACAGCTATACAGTTATTGATGAAATAATCCGCCTTTGTAGTATTCAGAATATTTTTCGAGTCTCTAATTACTACATTTTTTAATGACAAAGCAATTCATACAATTCACTGTATTATGGATTTAAAATTTTTTGAAATGGTAGTACCATTGTTAAATGTAGTATGCGAACTAATAAATTTCCAAATCCAACCAGTACTTACCCCAATTATGACTAGTGGATCAAGAGTGAAGATAGAGAGCACAGCATATACACTTGAATGCATTAAATTGAATTCAGGATTGTACGGCTAGGTACATATATAACAGTTATTATTTTATACAAACAAAATAAGATTATATCCAGTTTCTACCATTTAAAAGTTAAAACGTTGCTAATTTTGAAAAGGTTTATATTGCCTTTTTATTAACATCCAAGAATAGATTTGACCGACATCTTTCGGTAGATGTTCTGAATTGATCATTCACTACCAACTATAAAAAGGAGCTTGTCAGATATAGAGGTTTTGTTTTGTGAAACTAAATACTTTTATTTTTAGAATTCGAAAAACTCAGGTGATATTACCGGTTATTTTACAAAAAAATTTAATTAATAGCATAATCTGTTTCCTCTATTCCCAAGGGTGCACAAGGCGAACTTGGCATGGCTGGAAGCCCTGGAAGTCCAGGATTAGATGGACAACCTGGACTCAGTGGTAGTCCTGGAGAACCTGGAGCACCGGGTGAGCAAGGACTTTCAGGTCCTCCAGGACCACCTGGACGTCCTGGTCTTGATGGGGCTCCTGGTGCTAGAGGTGAAAATGGTGCACATGGAATGAATGGAGTACCTGGAATTAAGGGAGGATCAGGACCAATGGGGCCAGTAGGTCTGCCGGGAGCAAGTGGGACACCTGGACACGCAGGACCAATGGGACCTATGGGACCAGTTGGCCCAAGAGGACCGACGGTAAGTCGAAAAGTGTAAAACCATTGCTAAAAATATTATATGGAATTAGAATAGATCCATCAGTATGAATACATAAGAATTAGCTTTCGATAAACAAGAACATTATGTTACTTTTAGTTTCTTTCTAAACTATTAAACAGAGAAAGAATAGATAATACCTTTTCTGGGAAATTTAATCTAGATGAATTGTAATAGTACTCAACAGTAATATTTAACGAAGCAATCCAACTTCCAAAACGTTGTCACCAAAGATATGCGAAAATCATTCCACCAAAGCATAATTGCATTATGTTATAAACTGGATGACATAAAATTATTTGATTTTGAACTTAAGTTTAAAGTCACGATTGTAGTAATTTACCCTCAAACTTTAAGGGGTATAAGTATGACAATAAACTTCATTTTATAACTCCGAGCCATAAGCGTGAGTAGTAAAATAACCCCTTAAAATTAACCAAACATTCAAATATTTATGTTTTATCCTTATTAAAGATTGATTTTTACATCGATATATTAGACATACGATACTGTGAAACATCTAAGTCGTACTCTATGTCCAAAGTTCTCATGAAATTTTGTTACATTTTATAGCATCCTGTTAAAAGCTGAAATAAAATATCCTTGTTAATGGCATGCCTGCAGATAAATATAGCATTTGAAAACCGTTCATTGTTTGATGGTTTAAAATCACAGAATATATTTGCCTCACTCACAAAGCATTATTTATACAAATAGGGTGCGATAGGACCTGCTGGAGAACCAGGAATGAAAGGTGCAACTGGACTGCCTGGTGGTCATGGAGACAGTGGAGATGTAGGTGATCCTGGACCTGACGGTGACACAGGTCCGGAAGGTCCTGTGGGTGCTGTTGGACCTCCAGGACTTCCAGGTCCCGTTGGTGATCAAGGCCCTGAAGGCCCAGAAGGTGCATCTGGTCCGCCTGGTCCTGCAGGGTATGATGGTCCACCGGGAATGGATGGGAAAGATGGGTTATCTGGCAAAGATGGAAAACCTGGGCCACAAGGTGTACCAGGTGAACAAGGAGCAGTCGGAAAGCCGGGTCGCAGAGGAGATCGTGGACCACCTGGACCACAAGGAAAAAGAGGATATAAAGGTCAAGAGGGAGTAATGGGACCTCCAGGAGTTTATGTAAGTTTTTATCAGAATACTGCTCACAACATTTTTAGCCATTGTTTTTATTCAAAGTTCCATTCAAAAAATGGGTACTAACAATTTTACTAGTATTTATAATGGTATATTGTGTTATGAATGTACATATTTTCAATTAGAGATTGATAATGTTTATACGAATCCTAAGTGATAAATGATATAATTATCATCACAACTCTAATGATTCGATTTTATAATACTGGAAAAGAACTTTAAGTTGACTTGTCTCGTATGCACTATGTCACCAATATAAGTTACAATTACATATAACATATTCTCAGCTTTTTTGTTACATTTTTAATGAAAAAATCTCAAAACAGACCAATGCTTTAAAAATTAAAATTAGGTAATTCATTTAATCAAACCGACGGGTAACAATTACCCTAACTCATGGTTTTGTTCAACATACGTTAAAAAGAAAATAATCAAAGTCAAAATTACCGAAGATAATGTTAAAAACAATTATGAACTAAACTACTGTCAAACATTTAATTTTATTAATAGTTTGAATACAAGTTATTAAATGTGGAATATGTTCAAATGGAAGAATGTGATGTTCTGCATACATAATTTTCATATCTTAGTGATAATATGAAACTTTACGTTATGATCAGAGTCATATCAAATATTCTGATTTTCATGAAATGTAAATAGATATAAAGTGAAGTTATTGGCAATCAATAATTGCCAGTATACGTGTTGCTATATCAATCTTAATCATTAGTAAACATTGTGAACTATCAATAAGCAATTTCAATGTAAATTGAGGATTGAGTTGGATAGAGAAATGAATGATGAAATTCCGGTTTATATATATATATATATATATATATATATATATATAATCGTCAAAGTTATAAGATTTTCCTACTTTTCTTTCATTTACACTCTGCTTATAAAGGGTGTTATAGGCTTAGTTGGTGTTCCTGGATCAAATGGAGAAACTGGAGTAAACGGTACAGTTGGTGATCCTGGTCTTCCCGGTCTACCTGGAACCGATGGACGCCCGGTAAGTTTAATATAGAAAAGTTAAAAATCGCTTGAAATTAGGAATTTTCAAAGTGTATGACATATCCTTTATTCAACTACAATAAACAAGAAAATTCAAATATCTGAACAAAGAACAAATGACTATTGGACTTTATTGTGAATTGACAAGAATTAAAACTATAAATCATCAAACTCCAACTTGCAGGTTTGATGATAACGTTCTAGCTGTAAGACCTAAAGGTTCTTTGTTGGATCCCTGACATATATGTAGGTGCGTTTTGCAGTGGTGTCCTTTATTAGAAGGAAAAAGTTATCCAGTGATCTTTTAGTTTCTAATGTTTCACTATCTAACTTGATAAAAATTCTCCCTACATCAACCTAGTCTCCACAATCGCCACCGTCATAACGGAGTATGTAAATAAAATGTGAAGCTGTGAAAGTTATTGTTTACTGAATCGGTAAATATATTTGATTATGAGATTGCTTTGTTAGGCTTTGTAAATGTTGAGATGAATGGTGTGGAATGTCTGTCTGAATTAAGTTACAGGTAGAATAAAACTGCGTGACTAATGATTGGAACAAATACATGTTATTTAATATAAAACAAATCATAGTATGGTTAATATCTGGATAATATTTTCCACCAAGTGTTGCTTAATGAATGAACTTATGTGAATTAGGTAAGAAGTTTTGAAAATAGAGTGAATGCACAATGAATTATTTAAATGTGCAAAAAATAAAATTAATGAGAGCAGATAACATCATGTAACTGTCCCAAATTTCAAATATCAAAAAAGCGTGCATAATGATTTAGAGGTTAAAGAAGAATAGGATAATGAATGTAATGGGAGAGATAATTATCCACTTAATAGGCATGAAGAAAATATATATTGATATGTATTCATCGATTGCATTACTTGAAAAGCCAATACCGTGATCGTTTTAGCCGCTTTAAGTAACTGGCTTTCTTATACTTCTTATCAAGGCATGCGGAAACTATTTCCTTATTTTATAAACAAATTTTTGGTAAATAAAGAAGGAATGAATTCATGGTATCACTTTTTAACGAATTTCTTAAAATAATTAGATGGGACATAATAAAATGTATCTGGGTTTCATTAAAATTTATGATCGGAGTTAAAGATTAATGTCAGAATATTTACAGATTTATAACTAACTAATTTCACGTATCTTGAACATCCTATCTCATGATAAGTACAAATAGTTTAATTAGGAAAATTAACAAGCAACCTACTCACTTTTTGGTCGATCTAGTAGGTGAATTACTCCGAAGCTTCTTTTATACATCATCCGTGTTTGTAGAACACTATTTGAAATAATCTATATTCTTACCTTTTTAGGGCTTACGTGGACAACCTGGATTACGTGGCCCTCCTGGGCTTCCTGGAGTCGTTAAAGTTCAGCCTTCTACCATAGGAGGAACAGGTTTGCCTGGTGATCGTGGAAATCCTGGTTCATACGGACCCACTGGGGAACCAGGTCCTAAAGGAAGCGCGGGAGAACGAGGAATTACAGGTGATCCCGGTGACCCAGGAGATCGGGGTCTTTCGGGTCCACCTGGACCACCAGGACCTGATGGACAACCAGGAGTCGATGGAGAAGACGGTCCAGATGGCATTCCAGGGGATGACGGCCCCCCAGGACCTCCAGGACCCTTTGGAGAGCCCGGTCCAGCTGGGGAACAGGGTCCACAAGGCCCACCTGGGAACAAGGGAGCTATGGGGATGACTGGTCCTCGAGGTGAAACGGGCCAAAGAGGTGCACCCGGACCAACTGGAGCAACGGGAGATGTTGGAGAGCCTGGTTTGACAGGGTCTCCGGGGCCTAACGGAAATATAGGAAGAAAAGGACCGACCGGGCAACGCGGACAACCTGGAGCAAGAGGGAAACAAGGAGATGCCGGAGAGCCGGGTAAAACAGGGGAGCCCGGTCCTCATGGGTATCCAGGATTTATGGGGCCCCCAGGAGAGCCTGGCCCGGAGGGTCCTGCTGGTAGTGAGGGTAGTGAGGGCCCTCCTGGAGAACAAGGACCTCCTGGAAAGCATGGAGAGCTTGGCGAGGTTGGGGATGTGGGTGATGCAGGGCCACCTGGAAGAGCAGGACCACCAGGTCGTCGTGGTCATCCTGGTTTTCCAGGTCCCAGAGGACCGCCTGGAGAGGTTGGAAAACCTGGAGAACCCGGACCAGTCGGACCTATTGGACGTGCAGGTATGCGTGGACCTCGGGGATCTGTTGGTGGTGTTGGAGTTGCAGGAAGTAAAGGGGAACAAGGACTTGCTGGAGCTCCAGGGTCTCCAGGAGAAACAGGACCCAGAGGAGATACTGGAGAATCAGGCATTCCTGGGAAAGATGGTCGTCCAGGGAAACAGGGAGAGCCAGGTCCTAAAGGAGCTCCCGGAGGGAAGGGCCCAATCGGACCTCCTGGGCCCCCGGGTTTGGATGGCCCTGTGGGGTACCCAGGAGATCAAGGACCAAGAGGCCCTTCTGGTCCGATTGGAGAACGAGGTCCGATGGGCGCTCGGGGTTCGCGTGGTGATCGAGGAGATCCTGGTGAGGTCGGTCCACTTGGCCCCCCTGGTAGGGATGGAGAACTAGGTCCACCCGGTCCACAAGGTCAATCAGGACCTCCTGGCTTGCCTGGCCCACCTGGTCAAATTGTATCCATGCAGGCACGAGCTTCAAGAACTAAAGGAATAATGTATGGAGATGATCCTGCAATCAAAAGGAGATTTGGAAATATTGAAATAACTACTCCCCAAGGAACTGCAGAACTGCCTGCCCGAACTTGTGCACATTTGGCTGACATGCATCCTAAAAAACCTGATGGTGAGTTAGGCTTACTGAATGGCCAACTTTTGAGTTAATATTATAATGAAATATTAAGAATAATTTTGCGAATGCTTTTTTCGCAGCCATAAGTAATCTTAATTTTCCTAGGGAACAAAACAGTGGTAACAGTGTTATGTTGTAACAAATGTGTATTTCAGTAAAATAAAAAAATTTTCATGTAGATAATAAATAAGTTTCTTTCTATGAGAGATGCTCTGATGAAGATAACTCCTCATCCACTTATCTTAATTGGTGAAAATTATCAAATTATACTAAAATATTGTTTTGCAAATGATTGGCGTAAAATAGCCTTTTCATATGATAAATCATTTTTTCAGCCTTCATTATAACATGATAGTAAATCTCTACAACTAATTATTCAGATCCTATAGTAGAAGAATGTTGTCAAAGCAACATATACTAATGGGTACTAATCACAAGACAACTGGAAATCATAAAGTACTATGAAGATCCCTTCTTTTTAAAATTGGTATCTATTAACTCTAAACGATGATAAGATTTATCTTTGGAAGAAAACTACGGCAATCAAATCTTATTAACACTAGATCAATCGATTGAATCACAGTGGTCGGTGTCTTTTAACTTGGGATTATATTGGTTTATTGTTTAAATTTAAACCTATGGTCTGTCATTTAAACAAAGTTTCAAATACAAATGAATGATTGCTAAGGCTGCTGAAAATATTGTTTAATAATTGACAATTAGTAAGTACTAGGTCCTCTCTATGTTCGAAAACTGTCCAATGTTTAAAAATACATAAGGAGAGAACTGTGATGCTAAGTAAAATATTAGTAAAAGCCGTTTTCACTTCAGTACCTTATCAAAAAACTTGTTGATTAAGGTATTTATGAGATGCTTTCACCAAACTTCAACTTCAGCGACTGACTTTTCTGAAATGTAGTAGGTATTTATAAGCACCTATTCTTTTGTTTTATTTTTCCGCCTGGAAGGTTTCTAAAAACACCACTTCATTTCTCTTATTACATCCGTATTTGACATATTATCATTTAACATATGTACAACTAAACAGAAGAAATATTATTTTCGAAGACATTTTGGGTCCTGTCGCAAGCAAATATACACCTACATAACATGATTATTCACAATATTTTTATTCCTTATTGCTTTGTGAAATATAAAGACATGTCTTTTCGGGAATTTACTATAAATTCAGGTATTATGTTCGTAGTTTCATAACTCGGAAACAAAATTATTCATCAAGGTTAATTCAGTTATGTATAGAAATTAACGATTTGGTCTCATTATAAAACCTTGATTGTAATAAAATAACTTATAAGTACATCCTCCTATATATAACGTATTTTCAATGTTTCAACAGAATGTGATAAGATTCACTTGTCAGTGATAGCTTCGTTAATATTACTACAAGTTATGATTCTACCAAACAAAAGCGTAGAAATACATAAAGTACTGAAATACCATAGAATAATCGGACTCAATTTTTAATTTATACATTTCTTAATGTGCAGAGTTAATTTAAATTTTAAGCATTTATTTTTTAGCTAAGAAATCTAGTTTAGTTTTCTCATTATATCTTGTATCATTTCATAGGTGAATACTGGATTAACCCTATCGGTGACATTATAAGCAGTCCTACTAAAGTCAATTGTCTTATGAAAACTAAAGAAACGTGTATCAAGCCAAAACAATCCAAGATTTCTATGAAAAAAATACCTCCTACTATGAATAGTAGATTTTGGCTTCAAGAAATAAGTGAAGTTAATGAGGTAGGCACGAAGTAATTGTTATTTACTTTTATCAGCTTGATTTTTTTATGAAAAGTTTTACTACTGAAAACAGACCCAGTAGTCTAAACATTAGTGTCCTAAACTTAAATTTTCGTTAACTAGGATTAGGCTTAAAGTGACCTCTTACAACGCTAACGAAATGTGACAGTGGTTTATTTACACACTACTAATAAAATTTTAAATCCCAGACGTTATTTTCTCTTTGTCTTTATAATTAATGGTGTTATACGTAAGTTTATGTGAGGATAATGTATGGTCTCATATACAAGGCCGGTTGCCTGTTCCTTTTTTTTAATTGACTTAGTTGCTAAACCATGTCATAGAAACAAGTAATCAATTTACCTGGAATTGACCTGGCTGTATGACTCCATTATCGTGCAGGAGTAAGATATAAACATATGTGGCAAATACATCGTAACAGTAGAGTTTAGCAGATTTGGGTATTTCATGTGTCACCAAGTTACTAAATAAAGTTAAATACCTTAGCGATATTCATGGCTTAACTCAACATAGGTTCTGCGAGACCGCTGACTTATAACCCCTAGTACGTCATCTAATTGCCCTAAATAACTCTCCCGATCGTTACTGCTACCTTGACGTGATGGTTGGGCCTGCCTATTATGATGAACCAATCGGGTTATCCTCAGGTTCTTACCACGCCAGACAGGTTGGAGAGTAGGAAGACTAAAAGTAACTAACTCAAGGTCTGGGGGCAAATTCGTACTTCTTACTGCAGAGAGATGTGATGACAGTAAGGTGTTTCCTTCAAACAACCAGAAAGACAGTGATTCTACCTTCCCACAAAGGAAGATTAGGGTTAGAAAAGGTTAACCCCAAAAATATACACCTCATCTTATCCCACGGATATTCGTCTCCGGTGGTAAGGTCTCAGTTAGTACGGAGATAACACAAAAGGTCATGTGTGGCCGGTCTGAAGCAGTCTTCCCTTGCGTAACGGTTTCACGTTCTCAGGTCATTATGACCACCTCTAACCCAATTTCCTTCTCAGGTACCTCCGGAAGAACCCTTCCACAATGTTGGCAGCCGGGAAGTGAAAACCGCCCTCATACCTCTAATAGCACTCGAGACCACAGTATTCATAATCGACTTCCCTCTTCAGTCCCTATTATTCCTCCCACCTTGACCTTCAACTCTAAACTTCTTCATTTGATTTCCTTCTTGAGTGTCATGATGGCCGAGGATTCTGTCCTAGGTCTCCTGAAACCTCCCTCAAAACTAAACAATGGAGCTTTCAACGTACGCACCCTATGTCAAATCGGTCAGCATACATCCCTGGCCAAAACGCTAGGATCTCATACAATTGATGTATGCTGTGTCTCCAAAACACACATACAGGGTCCTAGTGTGGTCATTCACTTCACCTCACCTCGCCAAAACGGTGGGTATTTTGGTATTTCGGCTCAGTGAACATATAGTGGTGAACGTCTGCTGCAAGTGTGCTCATACAATCGTTCATTTTTAGATATCTTAGAAATATTGCTCGCATCTGCTGGAATCATTGGGTAAGTAATAGTGAGGTTGGATGCACAGTATTAGGAAATGATGGCAAATCAGTTGATGAGGTTGTAAATCTTGATCGACTGAGATGGTTAGACCACGTATTACGTATGCCCAGCCACCAATTACCACAGCGCTCAATGCTTACTAGCGTTCGAGACATTTGGAAAAAAGTTAGAGGCGGCCAAATCAAAAAGTGTCATCAACCCATAAAGTCAGTGACTTCTGGTCTGAGCCATGTTGGTAGATGCAGACTGCTTGGTTGATGTCCGAGTGACTATCGCAACCAATGGTTGGAGACTCTGGGTGACATGGCTCAGAATAGACCACAATTGCTTTGGTGTATACACTCTTTGTCTTCCTTTAAACCGTGAGACTAAGATTGCTTTATACCTTTGTTTCCATGAACGGATTCCTTCTTCCTGTATCGTATCCTTATAAATAATATATATATTGCTATCATTGAATTATCTGCATCTATGAATTTGGTGTTTATCCGGTTGTGCTAATGACATATGGCATATACATATATGTGCCTAGTCCTACCTTGAAGTTGCTTGACTGATTGATATCACGGAACTATGGCCATATAGTTCCAAACGTTGAACAATACAGTCTAAAATTGATCTCAATGGAATGGGTTTATTCTTTTTTTTTCTTTCTTTGTCAACAACAAGAACATAGAGTAATCCCCATGCTATTTACTTAATGAACTCATTCTTATTTTTAAATCATAATTTCTATATCCAGTCTTTTTTACTATCATAAATACTGATATTACTTCAACTCCTTTGATTCGTAACTTCTAACTTCCATCGAAAGGTTGATGAATATTAGTGTAAGGTTTTGTATTATTTCGAATGAATTACTGAATACAGAGTATAAAAACATGAGTGATCGTTATATTCTCACTTACTATATCTAATAAACAACAGTACAGAAAGGAAAGATTACTACTTTTTAGGAATATAGATAGTGAACATAATGATAGTACTAGTAAAACAACCAAAAAGGTAAGAAACAATGTGTTCAGACGTATTTTGGATATAAAGCGGAAACTTAATAATATGAAATACTCAACAAAATTTCATGTTGTTTTTAAGAGACAGACGTACTCAGTACTTACGGTTTACAGAGATATGATACAACTTATTACACAATATAAATTGATTTTACACTGTTTTATTATAAACGATTATATGAAACGTTTATTAATGCAATATCAGAATTCCATTTCATTGTCTTCGAGTTATACTCATAAATCTGTATTATTTCTATTTTAGTTAAACTATGCTATTGAATCAGAACAATTGAATTTTTTAAAATTATCAAGTGATATGGCTGTACAACGTATAACTTTATCCTGTTCTGGATTATCAGATATGACAATTAATTCTACTATATCATTAGCTGAAAATATTCGTCTGTTAGGTGATGATGATACAGTTTTAGAAAGATATCATCCACTACGTAAATTTCACATTGAACAAGATCAATGTGGAAAGGTTTGTCATATAATCTAAATACATTTATAAACATTAACTTTCATTCATAAACAAGTTTAATATGCTATATATTATTGTAGTCGAGAAAAATTTAAAAAGTCTGTTTACCTTGAATCCCTTAAACCTGTTACATGTTTTCTATGTAACAATAAGAACATAACAGTTTAAATAATCAGTCAACCATCTGTTATTTACCTTACTAATTACAATAAAATAATTAGCAAAATAAATAGAGTGATTTATTTGAAGAGGAGAGTGTCCAACTTAAAACCATTATTGATAATAATAATAATAATAATAATAATAATAATAATAATAATGATCACCAAGGTTTTACAATAAATATTTAATTTGTATCAGAAGAGGTTTTGTGGAGATTGTAGTAATTTCAATAGTTGAGATCATGAGTCTATTGGAGCTAGACCACAATGGAAAACCTGGAAGCACTGGACAGCCGTTTCGTCCTATTGCGGGACTCCTTAACAGTGTATATTCACGACCCCGCCTCACGGGATTCGGACGCAGGACCTATCGGTCTCGCGCCGGGCGCTTAACAAACTAGACCACTGAGCCGGCATCCAACAGTGGTATTGTCTAACTTCAACTAATCCACGAAATTGAGCGACACATCCATCATTGTCATCAGTGAGTTACTACCTCACAACTGACCCGGTTGAACTCCACTGGTCACTGCTTCTCACTATCTGTTATTTACCTTATTAATTACAATAAAATAACAAAATAAATAGAGTGATTTATTTGAAGAGGAGAAAGTGTTCAACATAAAACCATAATAACCATTATTGGTAGTAATAATGACAATAATAATAATAATATTAATATTAATAGTAATGGTGATAATAATGATAATAATCACCACGTTTTTACAATAAATATTTAATTTTTATTGTATTGATTCGTTTATTAAATTAAATTCATATTTTCTCATTTGTCAATCTGTGAAACTTCGTTTTTGTAATGAAATACTTAAGTGCAAAATTCTAGACTAAATCATAGTTCATTTGTACTAATCATGAATTATTTACCGAGTCAATCCTTATTCATCAATTTGTTTTAATTCAGCAATAATTATCGAAGATTATGTCTGTGATCATTGAACTGATTAATAGATTATCTAGTAAAAATAATTCAGTCTACCGTTTGAAAAACATCACGACAGTCTGCAAAGTACGATCAATTCTTTTATGGAACACTAGAACCCGTAATATTTATTGTTACAGGATAAATTGCGATGTATGAGCATCAATCAATAATTGTCCTTAATACAACAAGTATGGCGACGGATAATATTTTATGATCAACAATTATCAGAAATAAAGACAGTCTGTTTGAACAATTTCAGTGGAAGTGTTAGATACTAGAAGGTTGATCTATTACTGCCTAAATTACTTTCAATTTCATGACGTCAAATACTGAATATGTAACCAAGTGTATTTGTAATTAATCGATCGATACAGGACTTGAAAATGTTAGGTTTCATTTCATTGGAAATGTTTTTAAATCAAAATACTAGTATTTTTCAAATCCACCGCTGTACTTTTAATTGTGTTTGGTTTATCACAAAAATTGTTCTTGTATTAATCGATTTCTTTCAACGAATAATTATATAAAGTGAAATAACCTTGAATAGTTGAATTATAAATTGAATTTCATAAAAATTTGGGACTCAAAAAAGTAGTCAACCAACAGACGTCAAATCACCAATACGTTAATATAATAGTTGGGTTTTTTTAGACCTGACTGATTATCCTGGCTTATTTCTGCATCTATACACAATAAAAGTAAATCTGATTAACACTTCGGTTTTATAGTTTAGTCTATATTTGTAATAATGCATCTCAATACTCTTATCTTAAATATCTGTATCTATCTGTCTGCCCTTATATCCCTTTTTTTATTTTAGATTACCAGTGGTTATACAACTGTTTCAATTAGTGGAAATCCGAGTAAACTACCTATTCGTGACATTAATTTTATACATCTGGATACAATTAACTATGAATTGATTCTTGGTGATGTTTGTTATACAACGTACTTAGGAAAAGTTGTTTCTTTGAAACACAGTTACAATAATTAAATTATTTCAAAGTTAACACAAGTATAAAATAATATGATTTATTACGGAATTAGATGTTATAATAAATGATTATAATAATTCATAATTACTGAGTAATATCTTCTGTTATATTAAGATAATTTCTGTACACAAATCAAAGAAAGTAAATAAACGTTTATTAGAATGTTGAATACGTTTTGTTTTGAATTTTAAAGAATTGTAAAGTTTATTGAATCTTATATTATACTTTGGCGGCCCGCTTGAATATCTGGGGTATCTGTTTTTGTGATATCAACAAGTTACTTATCTTTTGTTTTTTTTTGACACATCATTATGGCCCTTATTCGTATATTCTATTTAGGTGGGTTTATGAAAAGTTTACAATCCTTAGCTGTACAATATACAAAAAAGTACAATCAGAGACATTGTGTTGTATGTTAATATGCACTGAAAGGAATGATCATTGTTCAGATTCAGATTCCTGAACTGCTAAAATCTAACTGATGATAACTTAATATTTATCGTCAGGATAGATGAAGAAATAAGGAGAGGAAACTTGATGAAATACTTTGTGCTGAGAATTCTATATTGTACCAAAACTATGATATTGAATAAAGTCACTAATAATAATTATTATTATGTATTAAATTGACTATAATGTTTTTATTGAGAATTGTTCAAAACTTTGTAACAAAATAAAAATCTTAATGTGAAGAAGATCGACAATGATTGTCTAAAACTGCGGTTTCCATTTTTCGTTATCATTGCATCGTAATGAGAAGTTAAGGAAAGTGATAAATTTTCTTGAGTCATTATCATTTGATAATGTCATATCATTTAAATTAATCCGTCAGTATCTAACTAGTTCCTAATATTAACTAAATAATTCATTGATGGAAAGGTACTATTATAACTAGTGGAGAACTTACTATAACATCAAGATAAGAATAAGAACAGATGAAACTAATGGCTTGTTGAAATAGAAATATAATTCGTCATGACTAATAAATCATACCTAAAAAAGTTATGATTGACTGACCACTTAGTAGTGATCATTACAATGTTTGTCTATTTTTTAGAAATATATCGATCACACTTTTGTGTTCACTAGTTTAGGAGATTCCAAATCCTTTATGCTATATTGAGATTTTAGGTGGTTGAAGGTCCTTAACAAGAGAAAAATATTATTTTACTCGTTTTCTAAACAGTATATCTAACCATTTAAAACACTGAAGGGTAAGTAGTGTGGAAATAACGCTAAGGTGTAATAAACAAAGACTTCATTTATTTGATTTTCCAGAGGATAATTAGGGACGAATTTCAGAAGCTGATAATACAAAATTTGAAATAATGTATTCTTATTGAATAAGACTGACTAGATAATGAAATTACCGGAAGATTAAATTAACGATTCACATAATCTTGTTGGTTATGAAGCAAAATCTACGATTTCATGAAGCAGGTGTTAAGTTGTACAACTGTGATAAATTGTAGTTTCAATTATTATGCACCAACATTATTTATTTCCAGCATACAATTCCACCTATTTTTGGTTCATACTTCTGCGACCCTTTTTGTTATTTAGATACCACGATCTTATTGAATAGTTTTGCTTGCCCAAATTAGTATATCAGTTTAGCCAATAGATCGAAAGTTCTTCAGTGCCTGACAGGTAATATGTCATTGACTACATAGTGTGAAACCTAACTCTTGATAAATGCTCACAGTCCCGTTACTTGGTTGAGTCAGTCATTTGAATGTTTAAAGGATAAGGGATACGTTGAATTTATCACTACCTCTGTCCAAAATCTCTTCTTACGTAATGGTCTCAAAGCTAATGAACAAGAAGTAGAGGATATGGTTCTAAAGTATATATGAAATCACAAGCTGATGTATAGTAATGTACAAAATCCAAGCTGACTAATAATCGTGGGAGATACTCAGCTTAGTGTGCCCGTTGGAATGGATTGATATCAACACTGACAATAGAATATCCACCAGTTTTACCACAGCAAATTAAAGCCTAGAGTCACATTAGAGAGATAAAATCTGCATCGTATTGAAATAACTCTAAATTATCTATAGTGTCGATCAGTCAACATATCTCAAACATTTACAGATCAACATAATAATGTAATATGAACACATATGTGATCACCTTGTACAATCAAACTACAAGACATCAAATAGCTAAATCGTCAGGCAATTTGAAACCACTAATTTGATAAGAGAAAAAGCTTTACCTGTAGTTCAGAAAACTTAATTCTGTCCTTCAGGAACATATAAATTCAACCGGCTCAAATGGAAACAACGAGAAACAGGGAGTCAAGATGAGAGCCGCAAATCTAAAAAGTCGGTAAGATTAAAAGTTGCTCTCTTCAAAGAAATACTACAAAACAGAAGTAGTGTGTAGTGACTCACTTTTATCATAAGAACACGATTGGTTTAATGAGAAAAATTATTATTATAACCAACTGTACCAGTGCTTGTTTTAATGTGCTTTTGTTTAACTGTGCTAATTACAGTCATTTTGTGCTTCCATTACCTTCCATCATTGTTCCGCGGTTTTCGGCTTTGTTCGCACGTACCCCGTTCTCCTACTTTCGCTTGTACCATTTCTCGGCACGATCTTGGTATTCGTTTGATACCACGAGATCGCCAATTGAATAAACTTTATTCCAATCCGCCTTCTGATTTATTTGGCACGCGTCCTCTTGTAGTGGCGTTCATATTCAATCTCGACTCAACACCACGCTACAAGTGCAACTAAAGGAATACGATTTTAAATTAAGATAAATAATGTGCTTGTCATTGATCCAAATGGTAGACATGGCACACAGAAATGAATAGGTTGCAAAGAATAGCTAAATCTTTGAAGAGAGACGACGTTATTGTCGTATAGAAGGTATGTAGGTGCAATTTTCTGATTCACACTCATACAAACACACATACATATAAGGCCCTACATTGTCCACTGGCCCACATATGCCTCTAGTAGTTGGATCTGGATTTTTTAAGTCCCGATGATTGGTGGACACCCGTACAGTAGTTAGTTTAGGGATAGTACGGTGATTAACGATTAGAGGTATTACTGTTATTCCCCAGTGTCAACAATTTTCCAACTCTCATGTACTACCTGTAGCTGATGAAAACAGTTTTTATTACGAACTTGTGACTAAACAATGCCATTGTCACTCATGAAGTTGCATGCTGTGGTAGTGACTTATTTTTATCACGAGAACACGATTGGTTTAATGAAAACAATTATTATTATAACCTATTGTACCAGTGACTGTTTAACGTGCTCTTTGTTTAACTGTGTTAAAAACATCTATTATACTTACTTCGATTGTGACCTCACGCGAATCCGGTTACGCTCAGTAACCAAGCTTGTATCCTGGCACGCTCTCTGTATTATTTCGATACCACGAGATCGCCAGCAAATATATCTCGACTTGGTTCATTAACTGCCTTCTGATATTTGACTTCCGGGGGATTTTATGGATATCCTGGCACGCGTTCCTTTGTAGCGGTGTACATAGTCAATCGCGACTCGACACCACGCTACATTGTAATCATCTGTCTATTTTTAGTCATGAGAATGAGTGGAAAGGTAGGACAAATTTTGTTCTAAATTTTCAATATAGGCTGTCAGCGTACCATTTGCGATAACCATCATCAAACCAATCAGAATGCATTTCAGAGCTGAAAACTCTAGGTAGATTTTCAATCCATGTCACTCAGGTTTAGCATGTGTAAATTGAGTGTTTAGTTTCAGGACATAAAATAGAAAGGGGTTTGACAGTAATCAGCACAGAAACCAAAATTAACAACGTGTGTGCACGTCAAAAGAGGAACTCAAGGAGTTTAACTGAGTATTAACTGTTGTCGCGAATATCATTATTTTCACTGGGTTTTATTTTTATTTTACTCAGACCTCACACCTGTTTGTTTGTAATTTCAACCTCGGATATTTTCGATGTAACACTATTTCTGGTTGTGTTTCCCTTCAGATGTTGACGTCTTCGTGATCCATTCGATCATCAGGAGAAAGAAAAAGGGTGAGAGTAAGTAACCTTGCCTGACACCGGTCTTTACTTAGAACGAGTTTGTTAACTGTCCTTCATGTACAATTTTGCAGTTTAATCCAACATAGGAATTCCGTATGATATTGACTATCTTCTGAGGCACGCCGTAGTGTCGAAGAAGCTTCCATAGTGTTGTTCCGTCTACGCTATCAAATGCTTTCTCGTATTCAATGAAGTTGATAAAGAGTGATGAATTCTATTCACTTGATTGTTCCACAATGATCCGTAGTGTTGCGATTTGGTCGGTACACGATCGGTTCTTACGGAATCCGAGAAATCGTGATGTCAATATTAAAAGAAGTAAAAATAAAAACTAATTTTGGATCTTTATTTATCGCTCAAACCGTCTGTAACTCTAATGATTCTCGTTCAGCAATTATGATTTTGTCTTGACGAAAATTAGCCGATAAACGAAAGTCTTATGACTAATAGGCGATTATGAACATCTCCATCATAGAAATCAAGTCGCCGTATGTTCAATACCTTCACCTGACAGAGACTATCTACAATATATAAAAGGCACCTCAAAAAGAACATCCAAGTTAGGTGATTAGAAGTAATGGAATTCCGCATGGTATCTAAGAATACCCTGAACTGAGCAACTTATACACTAGCAGTCAGGTATGGACCACTATTTAAATCAGAAAGCACTGCGCGAGCGCAAACGAAGGTAAACAATTGAAATTCAAGTAGCTCATGGAATAATGCACAGAGTAGTCATTCTTATATACGAACGTTAAATCAAGAAACACAACTCAGTCAGAGGAGTGAATACAAAATGGTCAGAAATTCAACCGATGGAAACCACAAACAGTGAGAACGAAGCCCATCAGTAAACTTTTTGCAGGAAGAGACTGAATAGGCATGTACAAAATCGTAGATTTTCCTCACTTCTCAGAAGCATTAGCTTATCCATACGATTCTTAGTTAATAAGTTATTCTTATTTAAAAAAATTAGTCCCTTTGATAAATTTTGATAATGATATTAGAAGACGAAGATTATCAGAACTATGTGATATATTAGCGCAATACATTTTGAACAATCTGGTCACACATATACTTGTTAAGAGCATTTATACTTGACCTTTTATTTTTATATATAAATGCTCTTAACAAGTATATGTGTGACCAGATTATTTTTCTTTACTTATGTGTAAGTGTATTCATAACAACAGTCGAGAAATGTGAATTTAAAATGCTGAAGGTCTTGTCGGGATTTAGGCGCAAGATCATGAGTTCGATTTGCTAGATTTCCGAATTTCATTTGCACGTGAGGTTAACTGGTTTTGGAGGTGATATTACAGAACTTATGATCTAATGATACGGCCTGAATTTGGATTAACGAAGAGTAATACAAGTGTGATTATTTACGTACGTTTCGGCATGTTCTGAAAAATTCCTAGTTACGTGTGTAGTGGCATTAGGCCCTAAATACACAATCCTCGAAACTCAACACGAGACAAGTGGAAAAATAGGTATTTAATATTTACTGCGGAGAAAAACCCAACGATGGAGAATGCGGGAAGAGAGAACTGAATTCACTCGAATTGATCGGACGGCATGGCTCGGGCTTGCAGGCGTGGTCACCCTTGAGTGCTGTCTTATATCTTTTACTCATATTACATATATATTGTTCTGTCTCTAGCCTAAGTTTGTTCTCCACCATATATGGGTGATTATTACGAGGAAATGAGTTGGTGTAGACGATGATATGACTTCCACGTAGGATCTTATATATTAGGGAGTTACATCATGATAAATCTACAGATTTAGATTTAAGTCTATTATTAGAGTACTATTAATAACGAAGTAGACCATAATTCTAAACGTGTACGTGTCGCAATGTTTCTAAGTGTTTACGCTTGGCTTTTTGTGATTGTGTTCCAGTAAAACTAGCAAAATAATCCCCAAATAGTTTACGTTCATCTAACCATAGTTCAAACAATGAGTAACTTCTCAGAGATATGTTGCGTTTTAGTGCAACTAGTCGAGATTTAATAGTGTCGATACAATTAAGTGCCTGATGTTTGAGTGTTTTTCCATTGGAATGAATATGGCTTCTCTTTAATGCCTTCCAGAAACGTTTAGAATAATCAGTACTTTCGAAGAAATAGATCTCACACTTCACCAATGCACTTTTGACGGTGTGACATCGAAACCCATCGTCGTGGGATCCTTGCATTTCTTCAACACGCATAAAATTCTCATTTAAACATTAAAAACACAAAGTCCAGCTAAGGGGTCTCTTTTCAATAGATTTAATATCAAGCTGTACAATCGTATATATATGAAAAATTGTGCAGCTTGATAATAAATTCGTTGAAAAGACATTCTTTTGATTAGGATTTCTGATGGTCAAATATTAGTCCATCGAAATGTCATATTATGAACATTTTTTCTCCTTTGACACAGGGATCGTACTTCCGCTGTAATAATACGCTACCGATTGTCATCTCAGAACGTGATGTCGGGATGTAGCAGAGGTCAACGTAACTCTCTAACCTATCTGAAGGCAAATCGACGTGATCATCTCAGATTTGTTTCTACCACTGTTTCAAACGTACGCTCGGCCTTACCTTGAAGTCCACAACGTTCTTATACTCTCACTTTAAAAGACTTAAATCCCATAGGTCAAGTACAGGGACAGGCGACCAGTAGGTGATAGGGCTAAAACATGAAAAGACAGGCTCCAACAATTTGAATTAACCTCGTCGAGCTGTAGGAGAATATAAGGTGGTTCAGTAATGGCATTCAGCAAATTAAGTTCTCCAACGCCTACCAACACCAACATACTAGCAGAACATGACCACCACGCCGCTCGGGGTAGTCCATGAGAGCCTACACATCTCAGAACGAAAACTGAGGTACGCACTCGCCTTTTTTTTACCAAGATTCGCCCCTACTTGGAATGTTGTACAAGTCGAAGTGACCCAGCCCCCTCATTCGACAGCTTCAAGAGGTGAATTGACAAATACGTACTAATCCATGGATTACTGTCACTCTTAGACCATCCGTGCCTGATACACGTCTCATAATTTAAGACTGTTATCACTGTAACACATCATTAACTACTTTCCATCTTCCTTATTATCATCCACATTTTGTTCTTACACTTCGGTCTTCTTACACTATCCTCAATACCAACGAATTGACCTTTTTATCTATTTACTTGCTTGTTGAGAGAATCATATCCCCTTAGTGTTCGAGTTTTGATTTCATTATCTTTTGCGTTGCAACCGATAGATCAATTTCCTGGTAATTTGATAGCTACTGGTATCTTGAATCCCTGCACAATCAATCAAATAAAACGATATACAAATTCACAAACAACTACCAAACTGACGAGAATTAGTGTAGTTTAGTGGCGAGACTTCTACTCATTAAACAAAACCAAATACTTGGAACCCTACCGAAACAACAAGAAGCGAGCTCGAAGAAATTGGACCTTGGAATGTTGCGGTCAACATGAAGGCTACGTTACTTTGTTCTGTGTTTAAAAGGTTAGTCTATACATTTCCCCAAAATACCAGATCACCCTACTGGAAAAATGTTTCTGTGGTGGGGGTAGTATAACATAATATATCGGTTAGTCTCATAACCATATATTCGTGACAGCCGAAAGTCTTTCGAAAAGCAGACGTGAAACACATGAAACTAACACTAATATATAAGTACTTCCACGACCGTAATAATTGTGTGGATGGTAATCATCATAAAATGCTGTATAATTATTCTCGCGCGTGAATTTTTTTCCTAAATCACTTTTGTATCTTTACTAGCCAGAATTTTCAAAACTTATACGGACTACTGCTTTACCACCAGGTACTGTTTATTACCAATCCCCTCTGCATCAACACTTAGCGTACGTCCTACGACAGTCACAACTTTTTGTACTGTAGTGGATATTTCACAGATCAGGATATTCAGTAAACACTGGTCCTTAAAAATTGATACTTCCTAACCTCCGTATTGTAGGAAAATACTGGGGAACTTAGGGGTTTTCCTCAAAATCATACAAAAATCCATACGTTTCCTTAAAGCCTGGTGAAATATGGGGGGAAACCCTCCAAAATTTCCTAGATATCTGTTAGGTTTTAATGGTAACAAGATTTGGGTTTGGAGATTTGTGATTGTGACTTTTAACTTGGCACATTTGAGAAGTTATCGCGAGAACAAGATCTTTGAAACTTCAGGCGATAACGCTAAGCCTCCATTTCGTGGTCTGAACAATTAACCAAATCATTTGGTTTATCTTTAGTAATAACACCACTTTTCTTCATGTTACGTCAGCACAAACCAATGTAAACGTTTTTTAGGTTTTTCGATAGAATTTATGATGGAGAGGCGACGTAAGATCAGGCTTTGAAACAGAAATGCTACCTAATTCAGTCGGTCTTAAATTTCATAATTCATGGGAATAATTTATATTCGTCGAACTTGTCACAACTCACTACAGCACGGCGAGACTAAAGCAATTAAAAGCAAAGATGAAAAATGATGCACAATGGAAGTAATAAACTAAGCGTAAAGTATAAAGCTGGAAAAGAACCAACTTTTTAAGGGAGTCAAATGTGTGGAACGATACTATATTCAGGACCTGAGAGAAAATAAGACAGCAGAACGATATTTATTCGCAAATCAAAACACATTAAAAACTATGTAGAAGCAGTAATGTAGTTTGCATAACACTTATTTGTAAAGTGTATATTGTGCGATTTGTTCATTTTTCTCTTTGAAATGGTAGTATATTGGTTTGTATTTCTATGTCCGTCACTTCTATATTCCTTTTTAGCTTGTGCAACAATTTTAAATATATGTTCTAATTCATTTCAATAATGGCATCACCGACATTGATACTCGATATGGGTGGTGGATCACTGAAAATTGGATTTTCTACAGATCCTCATCCCAAGTAATTTTTGCTTTTTCCGTAAAATCGTCCTTATTTTCCAAAAGAATTATCGATAATTCCATTTTTAAGTCGAAAACGCTTGGTGGTCGTACATTCGTTGGAAATGAAATAGAACAATGCAATAATTTGTCGAGTTTATTTTGTGTCATGCCATTCAAAAAAGTGAGTATTGTGACGTTCCTGTTAGTCAAATGCTTCATTTGCTCCCCTAGTTAACCGGTTTTTTTTTCTATTAAGCTCGAAATGCTACCATTTGTTCGTATAACTAGTTGCCTAAAAGTAGCTTTTCCATAGGCATACGAATCCCAGACCCAAAGATGTAACCGTTTACTTCCATCACTCGCTCATAAACTATAAGCTGACGTCACTTAGTTTGATTTGTTCATCCTAGTGTTATTTCTGCCCGTTATACAACGAATGTGGTTTTATGCCTATATTATGACAAACTATTTATTTATTTATTTGAACACATAGATTTTGGTACAAGGGGGCACCAGACACATATGCGCCACACAAATCTCACTTGATTTGTGTGAGGGCTGTGATGCTCTTCGGGTGGCCAAACCGAAGCAGGTGGTTTCCTTAGGGGGCCACACCCGAAGCCTTCGACCTAAAGATCTGATCCACAAGGCAGTGGAGCATCATAAGAAAATGCAGTCCCATTGTTGCGGGTGACCAACGATTGGTTCATATGCCATTTGTTCCCTCAGGATACAGAAGCCCATGTGTACCATTGGTTTGGAATCAGGATTTTCCAACTCCCCTAGGTGGACTCCATGTCCATCAACCCAGTCAAAGCGCCGGACATTCACTTTTCTTCGTCTCAATTTCGTAAACGTACTAGTATACATAACATCAACACTAATCACGTCTGACAAGATCCGGACATGGATTCAGAGGCTAGTCGGCTTTTATCAACTTACGTCTTTTGTGGTTTAAGCGAGATGTCCGTCTACCAGTCAGAAGGGCGTGTATACTACACAGTAGTTTTCTCGGTACTGCTTTATGGTTGTGTAACATAGCCTTTAAAGATGGGGGATATTGGTAGGTTATTAGTATTTGCTAACTGGTGTTTTTGATACATTACTCTGATATCGTGGGATGATTAAATTAGCGATGTTGGGTTTAGGCATAGAGTACTAGGCAAGTCCACAAATCGGTTTATGAAGTTATGAATCTTCATTGACTAAGATGGTTGGTACATGTATTACGTATACCGATTCACTATCTACCTCAGTGCACAATGTTAGCCGGTGTAGGAGTGGGTTGGTAGAAAGCTAGAGACCCCTGAATCAAGATAGCATCAACCCATGAAGTAATTGACTACTAATTTGAGCTATCCTTGTAGATGAATACCCGGACGGGGTTCGCTTGATCATCATAACAAATGGTTGGGGATTTTTAGTGAAAAGATTCGAGGTCATTAGCAGTTGCACAGATGCACCTACTCTTTGTCTTCATTTAAAGTTTAAAGGCTATACCTTTTATTCCACGGATTCATTATTCTTGAAATTTGTTCGTCTAATCTTTTCTATTATCGCCGCCTCTAATTCTGCAGCAGTTGCCCTAATAATTACACTTCACTGTGCTGATATTGTTTGAGAAACTTGACAAACTCATATTTTTGCCAGTCTCTACTTTGGTTCTGACTGATTAAACAGTGATATTACCAAGAAAGTGGTTATTAGTTCCAAAACTTCCTAAACAAATAGTAGTTTTATACCAACAGACATTGAATCATTTAGTCCTGCATGTGAGTTTTACAGTCACCATATATGTACAAAATCCACTTATATCCGGTCTTATGATGTAGAGACAGTTCATAAACCTCTTGTTGGTTTCCATCAAGTTAATCTTAAGTACCTCTTATCAGTAGTTTTTACTGCTCTTCATCATTTAAAACAATAAATTTGTTTTCATCATATATACTTCAAATAACTAGTTATACAGTGACTTAAATTTCACCATCATGTCCGGTAAATGGCTTAAAAGTCAATCAGTCTATCTTATTAGAAAATACCTTTGCTACAATATACATCATAGTGCTAAAATCAGCCGTAGATCAAAATATATTTCACTTTCATCATTTGATAAACAAAAGTGAGTAAAATTCCCGTGCTTTTATAACTGTATTTGACTTTCATAGTTGCGCTTGTGTTTATTTATAAAGCGATTTCATGTTTTTACATAGATATACGTATTTATTTTGACTAAATTTCGCGTTTATTTTCCAGTGTAATTGAACATCGATTTTACGTTCCCTTATGATCACAAGTTGGTTCGCGCTCCATTCACCTATTTAGTTATGGGTGTGGACAACGTCTCTGTAAAACTAGATTATAATTATTACAAGAGTCGCTTATTGTTTTCCATCATTATCAAAGGCTACACAGTAGCATATTTATCATTTATAAAGGATTTGACGTAATCTATATCTTTTTTAGAAGAATCCCCATTCATTAAATATATACTTATACAGAACATTTCTTTATTTTTAGGGCTATATTAACAACTGGGAGGTTCAATGTCAAATTTTGGACACAACTCTTAAAAGCATAGTTAAAACAAACTCTGTAGGTAGTTTTTATCCTCTCATTATTTTTTTTCCAGCAAAATTCTTTATCTGATCATAATCTAATTGTTACTGAGCCGTATTTCAACTTTTCATCAACTAAAGAAGCTATGAATGAAATCTTTTTTGAAGATTATCAAGTGGCTGGTTTGATCCGCACAAATCGTAAGTGTTAGTCAGACGATATATACATCTAACTGATTTTTTAGCTGCATTTTTAAGCGCTTACAAATATAGAAGTGAATCAGCTCAACGTCTTTCAAGATATTGTATAGTTATTGACTCTGGATACTCATTTACGCACATTGTGCCCATGGCTGATGGATTTGTTATGAAAGATTTCGTCATACGGTATTTACCTTTTCAATGAGGATTTCTATTGTCTTTCTTAAAAAACTTATTTTTAATTGTCTATTCAAGGCTAACAGTAGGTGGGAAAATTCTTACAAATCGTTTGATTGAAGCTGTATCCTATAGGTAAGTTTTATAATTGACTATGACTATAATTTTCTCTCCATAGACATTTGGATGTTCGAAGTGAGATATATATAATGAATCAGTGCAAAGAAGATGTATGTTATGTATCCACTGACTTTTGGCACGATATGAAGATTTCCCGGTGAGTGTTTTTAAAATATTGTCGTTTGTAATGTGGTACCGTATGCTTCATTTTTAGGAATAGTGGGGGTTTCGTTTCTCGTCAATTATTGTATTTTTAGTACCATGCACCATGTTTACATGATTCTTATTTCAAAGTGATCATTTCCACATTAATTAAAAGGTTAAAGTGTAAGGCATTTCTATGTGTACAGCTAACCCCAAAAGTCCTCATTGTGCACAGGTATTGTGAAGCTCTCCGTGGTTAATCACCACAACCTTCTGAGTATTATATTCATTTGTTATTATGATCATTTATTTAATACCATAAACCCGTAGCATGTTTGGTGAAAATTATTAAAAAGTTTGAGGATATACTTATTTCATATGAACCATAGAACAAAATGCAATTAAACTGTACTACTATTTGAGAACATCTCAATTCTCTGATTTTATTTTGAGCTTTTCGGTCCGATTCTTCACGTTGACGAAGTGGAGTTTAATCTACTTTGTTTTTTTCCTTCCTCATTAAAGGCAAACGAAACATTGTTTGACTTCACGCTTCCTAAGTGTTGTGTTTTTGTGTGATCTATTACATCATTTCGTTTTTCATTTAATTTTGTTTTATCATATAAATAGTGCATATAATGATACTTCTTATAATGCTTAGCATCCTATAATTCACAAAATCCTACATTTATTTGAAATAATTACTAAAGATGTTCAATAAAAATATCTTTTTAGAATACGCAACCAAAAAAGACAGTGTAAATGCTGTTGATCAATATACTGAATAATAATCCCTTGTTCTGTAGATAGATAGCTACACACCTATCCATTTTTGTTGAGTGCTACCAAACTATCAAACAATGTTTGTTAGTAGGTTTCTCGTCTATCTTTACTTTTTTTTTACATAGATCGAACCAAAAATCAAATAGCATTTTAAGAGAATATGTACTACCAAACTATGTCGATGTACACCGTGGATATGTTCGTGATCCGAATGCGGTGGCTTCTGAAAATAGTGGTAACGATAAATCAGAACAACGAGCTTCCAATCTGTCACAGCAAGGATATGTATTGCGTTTGAATAATGAGCGTTTTACAGTTCCTGAACTGATTTTCCATCCATCTGATGTGGGCTATCAAGAAATGGGGCTTACAGAAGCTATCCATTACCTAATGAGTGAACGATTACCGGCTGCAGTAAGGCCAGGAGCTTGGGCAAATTTTATGGTTATGGGTGGTAATGCATGTTTTCCAGGATTTGCTGAACGATTGTAAGTCTTTATTAGGTTTTATGCGAATTCAAGTAAATTTTCTACTAAATTGTCATCAATATGGCTTTTCGTCATTCCATACGGTACATATGATATAGTGCTAAAATTAATGTTGTTATCTGTATACACTCATGAAATTTACAGCTGTCAAAAGCCAGATGAAACCATTGTTCTCAAAGTTCGGTGGAAATTTTAACTTCACTAAAGAAATTCGTTCTCATAAATAGGTGATTTTTACAAATATATTGATGAGTTACTTAAATCACGAATTAAGTAGCCAAATGATCTTGTATTAAAATATTTTTTGATGGCCTTTGTATCGGACTGGATAACTGTTTACTCAATGTAATAAGATTGTGACAATACAAAATTTAAACTTGAAAGGCATTACAGTCAATTTAATGGGAAATATTTTAGATAAGATTATTTGTTCTGTTTACTTTCATTTATATATGAAAGTCAACTGCAGATACTCTTCTTCAATAGAAAAACTTATTTTCTCTTAAATAAATAAATTCCCGATTGGATTTATTCTCTGACGAGTTCAGCCAAATGTGTTTCTTAATCTGAATAACTTATACCCTAAAAGACATTATGTTTTAATCTTGAATTTATATCCATAAACAGATTTCTACCGACCATGTAAACGGGTTTTTAAGTAAAACATAACTAATACTGTGTATGTGCTACTGATGTCGATATATATAAGTAGTATGTATCACCACTCGAAAGTAGAATGCCCGGCAGCAGACGGTTGAGAAAATCGAAGAGAAGAGAACGAGAACAAAGAGTGATTGGTATGGAAACAAGAAACAACAAAGTCTGAGACAATTGGTGGATATTTTGTAAATGAAATATTACTGTATGGTTCTCAGATTTTACTAAGAGATTCTATAGTTTTGTATTCCAATACATTTGGATACCCCCACTCGTGTTCTCGCTCATTACAGTACGTTTAAAGTGTTATGACGGCGTTATAAGCATGATTTTAATATTCAGTCGTAACTTATTGTTAAAACTCTATTGCTGCTGAAAATTTTTATTGAGTTCCATTTACTTAGATTAACCTACTCTGCAGCCTAGAATTATTGTTCACTCTGGGACTCAAACACAAGTAAGTGGCTATTTAAACTCAGTAGCTAATTGGATAACACGATGACGTCCTATTCTAAAACAACTTGTGTTGTAATGGCTATATGGAGGCCATTTGTACAGGATGCATTTATGCCAACCAAGACTGGTTAGATTTTAGTCAAAAATATCAACAATGGGATGATCCAATCCATTTCAAATTGAATTAACGATATTAATGTTTTAAGCTAAAAATAATATCCCTAAATTTCTCACTATTTAGATAGATCACAAATGTTACTAATCAGTTCAATAGGGCTCATTGGTTTTTCAGCATTAAAATGTCAACCACTGTGTTCGCTGCTGGGAAACTGTTATTCTAGTTTATTCGTAGCAGCGGGTTACTATTACTATCCCTCAAATACATATGCATGTACTTTTTTACATATAAAAATATAATTGTTTTGTGTTTAATAATGTAACCGGGATGTGAGTCAATCTTTGAAGCTCATTTACAGAGTCTCGTATTAGATCAAATTATACCTGCTCATGACTTGCAGTAGCTAATAAGTTTCATGTTATTAATACAATAATTTCCTTTCTTATCAGTTGTTAGTTTGATAAAATTAATCAAACACTAATAATCACACTTTAGTGTCTTATCTTCAATTAGTAACTTCTTTTCTTTCACTTAACGATTACTTATGGAATATGTATAATTTTTGCAGAAATATCTGTTGTGATTTTTCTTTTGGTCTTCATGATTTGACGTATACATCCATCCGGTTTGTTGTATTCTCTATGACATGTGTGTTAATTCATTACCTATGAATACCTAACAATACAACGTGTGCTTGTGCATAATACACGTTGTAGACAAAGTGTGCACATTTGTGTTTATCCTTTTGGGAGGTCTGACAATGTTTTGTATGTATGTGTGTTTGCATTTAAGTCTGTTTGATATCCTATGTAAAAGAAAAAGTCCTTGTGACTTTTCTATCGATCGATGAAGTAATCCGAACATGTTGTATTAAGTTTGACGCTACGCACCAAAATAGGTCGTATAAGCTTTCTCCGAAAATTCTTCATGAAACAAGTAGTGCGTTGCATTTTGCTCTCTTATGTTCATCACGTTGATTGTGGTATAATAAAATGCGAATACCTTGACAAAGTCAATCAAATACTTAAGAACAGAACACAGACATCCAACCAGGGTTACAAATAAAAAGGTATAATAATAGATAATGAGATATCTGGTGAATTCCAAAATACTAATCAACACAAATACTCCCTGAAAGTAAGTTTTACCTTAATCACTAGTGACTAATCATATTGAAGCTCTTCGGGTTTTGAAGGGGTAGTTGTGGATTTTCCAACTAGTTACTGGCATTTACACATATGATAATTGTGATTAAATGATAGGTCGATTATGATCGCAGTTGTGTTAAGTCCAATGGCATAAAAACTACTATTCTCTTTATAGGGTTTTAACTCTATTCCTTAAGAATGTCATAGATGTAAACTGCTGAAACACGAAAGACAAATAACTGGCGTTTACTACCTAATTTCTTCAAGTCTATTCTTTGTTATCCATTTATGAAGAAAATCAAATTTAATTCGAACGAAAAGCATTACACATTGCTCCATAACATTCTTACCATGGTGTTTCTTGTTGATACTTCTCGTCAACTGATAAATACTGTCCTTTACGATTGAAACCAATATTAGACTCATGTATCCCATCTATATAAGATATACTAATATATAAATAGTAAATGTCATTTTATACGGTCATACATTTTCAAATTATAACACAATTTCCCCGTACGAGTTAATCTTTTCTTTCAATATTAGTTTGGAGTTTCTCACTTGTTTATTGCTTCATTGTAAGTGCATTCATACATATTGTTTTTTTCTAATATATTTCGAACATTTACTACTCAAGACAGTTTTAATTAAATGTACTATTATTATTTGAAAAGCGACATTAAGTTAATATTTAGTCAGTCCTCATTATCTTTTATAAATCCTATCTGGGATTATTATTATTATTATCATTATTATTATTATTATTATTATTATTATTATTATTATTATTATTATTATTATTATTATTATTATAGGTGATTAATCTTAAAAACGCTAAGAACATACTTCTAAATTATCTGTGTATTAGTTGCGTGTTACGAACACTTTACTTGTCATTAATTCATTTTTTTATAATAAATTCGGTTAACTTGTTTATATTCCCTTATAACTGAAATTAATTAAGACTTTGATTTTGTATACAACGACAAATAGAGTTAACGTTTCACATGACACTAATATATCTACAAATTAGAATATATCATTTTCACTTATGTAATGTAGTAATAAAATAATGGTATTATAATATCCCGATAAATAAATCAATAAAATTTCTGATATTTCATGACTTAGGATAAGTCACTTCTTTTGAAAAGAAGAAAATCTTGATTTATACATGTATGTATCCGGGTTTTTTTTAAAAAAAAAAGGAAACTTGTTGGAATAGTTTCTGCTGAGAATTCTATATTGTACTAAATATATAATATTGAATAAAGCTATTAACAATAATAATATACGATACATAAATCTAAATACTACAAGAAAATAAGTCAAATGTTTGGTACAAACAAAGAGGTTGAATTATGCCAATGTTATGTCATTCAAGTCGAAGGTGATTCTGTTTTATATAGTGCTCTTTCTATAATATTAATCACATTTCTCTTATATATTTTTCTGCATATGTTAAGAATGTTTCATCTCCAAGTAAACACCTATTTCGTAGGTTTGAATTTCTGTTTTTCTCTGTCCAAATTTTCTCACGGGTTTTTTCATTCAGATTTTTTTGTCCAAGTGGTTCCTCAGTTACCCAATATCTTCAAGCAACCTGAATAGCAAATTGCTTTAAGTTCTTCAACTCTAAGTGAGGTTGAAAAGGCTATAAGCAATCTAAAGCGAGGGTGAGCAGCAGGACCTGATGAACTAACCCCTGAGATTTTTACGGATAGTGGTCCAGTTTTATCAGTTAGATTAACTGAGATCTTAGCTAAACTCTGAGAACTAAAAGTAATCTCATCTGACTGGTCTTCATACCTAACCGTCCCAGTCTATAAGAAAAGACAAATATCCTCTTTTGACAATCACAGAGTAATCAGTTTAACTAATATAGTAACTAAAATGTTAGCCTCAATAATACTTCGACGTCAAACTACTGCTCGTGAGGAATAAACCCGAGAAAGCCAGGCTGGTTTCTGACCTGGACAAAGATGCATAGACGAAATTCATCTAGATTCGGCCCCTCTGAATTCCTCATAATTCTCCTTATTTCACTAATCTATATTTCCTTCGATGCATGATCTTTTCTGTTAACACTGATATTGTTACTACCTCTACTATTTCGGGATTCGGACTGATAATTTCATCTCTTTGTACATACGTATACGTACCAGGTCCTACGTCGTGACTAACCGACCGACTGAATTTCATTTTCAACGTGATAATAACATGCTGTTTTCCATTTACCTCTCAGTTCTTTTGATGTGTTAATCTCTCACCCTATTTGTAGAATTATTGTAAATGTACACATGTACTGTTTCGTTGAATCAGTCTTCTTTGGTGTCTACCAATCCATCTTCTTCATAAAATTTGTTTTTTGGGGAGTAGCCGAAGTTAGAAAAGAAAGGCAGTTGTGAAATGCAGGTAGCGAAGCATAGCTAGTAGCTATTCATATTTTCTCTTAATATCCCACCATATATGAAATATCCGAAATTGTATTTTCAGAAAGTTCTTAAAATTTATTTATTCAAACTTGTTTTTACTGATAGTCTCACACACAACGTAAAACCTGGCAAATTTTTACTTTGAAGAGAAGTTGTAAATTGACCATACGATACTACCAAACATGAATTATTGAATTGGTTTAAGAAACTTTGCTGAAGCACACAGTTAGTGGAAATGTAATAATCAACTCTATTATTTGTAATGAATGAATTCACTTCTTCTTAACATGTCCTCTTTTTTATTGCTTGTGTTGGGGTTATCAATATTAGTTTGTACAATGGTCCCATCTGTTTGTTTTTTACATAAGGACACGACTTAGTTACCTTTTACCAATTACCTAAATCAATCCTTTTACAGTTCCAAACCAACTCCATACAATTTATGTCTTATAGTGTTATTATTTTACATACAAAGGGTGTGGTTTAGTAGATTGAATCATTTAACTTTCTACCATTAAATTCCAAGTTCTATTTTCTTTTTATCTACTCAAGTGTTTAAGCAGTTAGGTAGTGTTATTAACTTTTCTATTCATAAAACAAATTTCTATTTGATAAATAAGTTACATTAAGTTCAAGTTTTAAGATGTAACTCCATTATTACTAATTTGTTATTACCTTATTTCATTAATTTGTTTAGTCTAAATAATTTCATGTATTTCTATCATTTGTACAACCTTATTTTATCAAGTTAATATTAATGACTAAGGTCAATCATTCAGACTGTTTTTTTGTTGTCCGAGAAATTCATTACTAACAAAAATTGTTTGTTTTGTTTTTTTTTCAAATAAAAATCATGATAAACTTTTTATAAAGTAGTAATGTGTTCATAATTTCAAACTAATAAATTAAATTATCAGTATGGGTTTTGTGGAGATTTTTAGAAATTTTACTTGTTGAAACCATGAATCAATTGAAGCTAGACCACCATGGAAAACCTGGAAGCATTGAACGGCCGTTTCGTCCTAGTATGGGACTCCTCGGCGGTGCGCATCCACGATCCCGCACCCCGCGAGACTGACAGGTCCTGGTTTCGAATCCCGCGGGGTGCGGGATCGTGGATGCGCACTGCCGAGGAGTCCCATACTAGGACGAAACGGCCGTTCAATGCTTCCAGGTTTTCCATGGTGGTCCAGCTTCAATTAATTCATGATTTCAACAAGTGTAATAAATTAAATGTTCATTTGATTGTTTGTTTTTATTTATTAGTTTATTTATTGGTTTTAAATCATGAAATTTCTGAATTTTGAGCTATTTGTTTAAATTTGATTTTACATATTTTATTCAATATAAATATAATTCTTATTGGTTTACTTTCTTTTGAGAATATCATGTAATTGTTTGTTTAAATTGAATTTAATTAGATCAACTAATTACAATTATCTTTTATTTCAGGTAGAAATTATTTTATCTGTCCAATAGATAATTAATTGTTATCACACATGAAGCTTTATATTGTACAGAAGTTATAAAGTTCATTTTATAATATCTGTAGGTATATAAGAATATAGATTCGAAAAACAGTTGTTAGTTTTTAGTTGAATAAGTGATAACTTTACAACAATAATGTATGTGTATTATCTATTTGCTTATTTTGACTAGATTTACATTCTTTTGTAAATTTTTATTACAGACAAAGAGATATTCGTACTCAAGCACCTGATGATCTTCCGGTAAATGTCTTTAAACCCCCTAAGTAAGTTGTATTTTTCTTCTACTAACTCTCATTTTTAAGATAAATTCTAAAAGCTGCTTTTTGATTGTATCAAAGACTATGACATGTTATTTGGAGTGTTTTCTTCGAGTGGTATTCGTTGAGAATTTATAGTCTTCCTTTTTATTGGACTTCTCAGAAGACATACTTTTGAAAGAAATACCTGTTTCCTCCAACTTACTATAGATCCATCACTTTCTAAGAAATCTAATCAACATCAACAACAAGGAATTAATCTTGTTGAGTGAAGGTGCTGATAAAGGGTGTTTCATTTGCTTTCGGAGACTTCGTCACTTATGGTGGGTTGCTGGCTAGCGAACTGTTTGTTTAAACACTAAGCGCTTGCTTATCTTCATTTTAAGCTATTTACAGTTCAAGATTATTCGAACGTCTAGTAATCAGCGACCAAGTTATTAGGTAGATATTTGTTTTGTTATTTCACGACTGAGACGTGACTATTAAAGTTGGGAAGTAGGCACTATTTTGTAATATGTGTCTCTAAAACACTTCTGTGCGGTGGGACCACTAGCCTCTGCTGAATGGGTTGTTTTTCACATATTTTATATATTTCTAGTCATTTCATACCCTAGCATAATATTTTTGGCTAACATATGAACAGAATAAAAGAAAGTTTAGGACGACCAAAACAAAAAGTAGCATCAACCCATCAAGTCGCGATGAATATGGGTCGCATAAGCTTCTTCATTTGGATCAGCGAAATACAGCTCAAAACTAATCGTTGTCTTAGATCCATCCACCTGTTTTAAAATGTTTTTTTCTTTGTCTTTCTTCCTACAGTTCTTTACTTTTATTGCATTATCTAGACCTCCACTCACTGTACTGATGGGAAATGCGCTGATAAGAATGATCACAAACATTTTTAAGATCTGACTCTGTCTGTGGTTTTAAATAAACTTGTCTAAACTTTGATTCTGACTACAATACTTGCTGTGTTTTTTTTGGTCGTCAAAAGTTGTCAGGTAATCCATAAAATATTTCTCGCTTCTGGTTAATATCTTTTAACATATCTTCGGTTTCAAAATAACTTGTTTCCCAATACAGACTTGAACCCTCAGCTTTGTATCATTTGGCTCAGTGAATATACTGTGCATTTTTTTACTGGATAAAACGACTAATTTTTAAACCTAACCCAGTAAACATTCTTGTGCACTAGGTTACATATTTTTTATGATGAACGTTATGACTAGTTAAGTTAAATGCCTTTTCACAATAATTGCCTGTATTTAACAGTTTCTTTTTTTGCTACTTTCGTTTTTCTACACCAACATTAGTCCTCAAACCTACGCTTGGGAAGGTGGTGTTTTGTTTTGTCAAAATTCAGATTCATTCAATCATTTCTTAGTCACGCGCAAAGAATATGAAGAGCAAGGATCTAGTTATTGTGAAAAACGATTCCCCATCTCTTGAATTTCTATTAATATTTATGCTTTTGTACAATGAGACAAAGAATATGTATAAATTTATTCAATATATATAGGAATAATAATGGTAACAACACATTATTTCGTTCTTGTGTCATAATCATCAGTATTCGTAGTAAACCATTTCGCTAAGCAAAACCGAATAAAAGTTTGTTTAAAATTATAATGAAATTAAGAAATTCCAGTTCAAAGAAATAAAACAGCACTGAGAATATCATTGTTCGTTTAGAGAGAAAAAGAAAGAAAACAGAAATAATATTTCACAAATAAAATAGACATTATCACGCAAGTGCTGTTTTGCGCGTACATTAAGAGAGAGAGAGAGAGAGAGAAAGTATAAACACACATCAGTTCTGAGTATAGTACATACAACATAAGAAAATAGCATAATTCCTTGATAACAGTTGTGTAAAAAGTTCTCGGATTTTCGAACTAGTCACTAATAATATAAATGAATAGTATTCGTGATGGCAGCAGATAAAAAATGTAAGAATAATGATGTGACTTGCAGGAATCCTATCAGTTAAAAATAGTAAACGACAAATGTTTGCATACAGCTTTTCTTCAGAAAAGTAATTGAAATATATGCATGATGCAACAATTATAGTTATAAATTATTAATTAAACAATTAAGACTGTCCGTATTATTATTAAATAAGTGACAGAGATCATTCTATAAATCATGATATGATACAAGAGAATTATGGTCATCTCGGGGAAAACAGATACTTGTTATACTTACCAGCCATGTGTAAATAAACCACTGAGCGTTGAAAGAAAAAAAAGTAAATGTAAGAAAACATTAGTAGGCAAATTGATCTATTTTATGTTGTATAAATTGTACAGATTTATCTATCTTACAGCGTGAACAAACGAATGCTCCATGTTGTTTGTTGTACATTTGTACGTTTATTCGTTAAACAACAAATAATGATCATAGAAAGAGAATTAAACATTATATCGTTGATGTATTTGGTACATAAATTGCAATATTAGCACTCATATGTTGTTTAGAAATAGAACAAATGAGAAAAGACAAGTGTAGAAATTTGAAGAAAAACAAACAAGGAAGACAATCAAATATAATTATTCTATACGTAAGGAAGGAGAAGATTAACAATGAAATGATTGTTACAAAGAAAAGTATGGGAGTGGGCTAGAAGTAGAAATACCGTCCAATCCATTGTAATATATCTTCTTGAAATTGTATTATTAAAATTTGAATAACAAAGTGTAATACAGCATTAATTAACAGTAGTAAAAGTGAATATTTTCTCTTATTGCACTTAAATGCATCTCATTATAATCACTTATCAAAATTATTAATTAATCCTTCAATTAAACATTACAAATTAAGACCATACAAACAAATAAAAAGAAATTGAAAAAGATTACAGAAACACTAATAGATAATAATTGAATAAACATTACAAATATAAAATATGTTGTAATGTCATTTTACAAGAAATAATTAATAAATTAAAAATAATCATGATAAATGACTAACTTGATCTTGATTTTTCTCAATTATTCTATCTTTTACACTTAAGGAACTAAAAATTACTAAATATGAGATAATTATTATTGTATAATGTATATTACATGTATCATTAATACAAAGAAGAATCCAATTAATGCGAGGTACCATTAAATTGTGATGTATTATTTTAATTATAACAATCTTTTGCATAGAATAATTATTCACAACAATAATAAGGTTATGTTAAAAAGGTGTAAATCGTAATCCATATAGTACCAGATGGTAAGTGTATAAAATCGAAATTTCACAGTATGCTGTGGGCTTGACTAACAATTAATACAATATTCTTTTCCCTTTTTTTAAAAAAAAGAAAGACTATTTCGAGAGAGAAAAGCTGAATGGTGAAAGTATCCATCCACTTCACTATGTGTTTGTGTGTGTAATTCATCAAAATAAAAATCTTCCTGGTGTAATTTGAGCATTTCGATAAGTTTCAGCTAAATAAGCAGCTTTTGGATCATTTTTTTCTGAATGTGTAGTATTATTATATAAGGTTAAATCTCCTCTCTGTGATAATTGTTCATTTAATTGTCCTGAATGCTGATGATGATTGTAAGAACGATTAGTTTGATTAAATAAATTTTGATAGTTTATATGTGCACTTGGTGGTTGTTGTGAAATGATTGGATGTTGACGATTCATAACTTGTGCTTGTTGTTGATATTGATGGTATGCATAAGCAGCAGCGGCTGCCGCTTCAGCTGCTGCTAAATTAGATACTTCATTAATCGAATGAACTAACTGACTAGCATTATTTGACTGAGATTGTTCTATAGATTTAGATAAGGCATTATGCATGATATTTGTTTGATGTAAATGAGACGAGTAAAGTGGATTAATGCTACTATCAAGCACATTTGTAGCACCGGGATTATGTTCTGTATAATTTGTATTCGAATATTCACTAGTTGAATTATTATTACTAGAAAACATATATTCATTCAGTAATCGATTGTTAGATGGTACTGATAACTGTGTATTGTACTGATTACTTCCAGTTGAATGATGACGAGACTGATTTTGAGTACATGATGATCCAGTTGGGTTGAATTGATTATTACGTAAATTTTCGGAATGGGCTTCTTGGAGCATAGATGAAACAGGTAATCCACCAATAGTTTGACTATCACATCGACCTGTAAGTATGAGAAAAATTAGTTGATGATACCACTAATTAGCCCAAACTACTTATTAATGCAACTACATAAAGCGTAAACTACTTACCGTATTAAGAATCTTTGAATAAGCTTGAATCGAATTTAATTAAAACTTCTATTTATTTTCAAAGTTTTATGCTTAGTTTTAAAACTATTTGATAAAAGCTTTGACTAAAATTTGACTTGCATACAACCCATTCGTTTGCTTAAACTAGTTTCACTGAAATATTGAGTGAAAAAGTCAAACTCCTATGCCAAAGTGCCAGAGTAAGAATTAGAAATCCAGTATTTTCTATGAATTACCACTAGCCATGAAAATTAATTTGTTTTGTAGATCGTTCAAATTATTCACCTGCTTTCTGGAGTCTTGTTTAATTTATATGAAAGCATGAATAATTCAGACAAATTCGCATACAATTTTCAAAGTCGAACAAAAATACAACATAGAGTTATTTGCAAATTGTTTTAATAAACTAAATATATCACTAATGTGTATCAAGTCACTCTGTACAGATTTAAAACAATTCATTTACTAACAGTTATTGCGTAGTAAACAACTAAGGCCTAAAAATACACAAAACTCTCTCGAGCTAAACAGGTCATCTATTTGAAAAAAGTTAGAAAACCCTAGATAGAATACTACAATCATAAATATAGACTAGACAACACCAATGATCCCATTGCAACTTACAGAAAAACACGGATATTCATAAAACTTATCGATAGCACTCTGGAATCCTTCATGCAAATTTTGACAGAACAAGTCGAAAAAAAGTAATTAATTCTCCGAATATATAGACTAATATAACGAGAAGAATTCCAAAGTCATTAGCTATGGTGTAACCACGACTCTCTTCTTTGAACAGTTAGTTATACAATATCTAGTACGACAGTTGTAGTAATATTATCTTGATGGCAGAATATAAGTTTTATTTTCCTAACATTTGGAATTAAATTAGTTAGTGAGTGGTTATTTCTCCTGATATCCCATTCAATTTAAACATAAGGTTCGATTGCATGAGTTAATTTTGATTCAGTCATCTCACTCAAGTGATATTTCATTTTGTATTCCTCACAATTTTCCCATACCAAAATCAATTAATTTTTCAAAACATAGAGACTAACAGTATAAAAGAGTTCGTTTTTTAGGATACACATTATTTTTTTCAAAAGTTTAAGTTACTGTAAACCTATCCTTGGATTTTAAGTAGCCCAAATTGAAATACATCTTCTCATTCTTGCATTCACTGTTGAAATTATAAAATAAAACTATGTAAAATAAGGTGGGTTGTTCCTTTCCAAAATAATTCACATTTGTGGTAATACATATGTCTCATCTCTTTTTTCCATCGTTGAAAGCATACCCGGATTTCTTCAGACGTCAGGTTATTCAAAGGCCTCAGAAACGAAAAGAAATTACATGTCACAAACTTATGGGCGATCACTGCTGAATGTCAAGGTAATTTCCGCAATACAGTAGCAATTCATTGATCGATTAGTAACTGAATAATTATAAGCTACCAAGGCGAGACTGACTTTAGATGATAGATCTTTAAGTACAATTCTACTGCTTGTATATTTAGTTCTCTCCAACTAATAATCGCAAAAGTCCGATTTCCGTGTGTATTCGACAGACTACGAATTTTGTTTATGTTATAGGCACATTTGATTTGTTCTCCGTGTAAGGAAATTCTCGTAGTAATAAGTAGAAACACCTAAATAAGAGGGTATCAGACTAAATTTGAGCAAAATTCATAAGAGATTTGGGCAAATAGTGGTAAAAAACTATCTGATTATTTCATAGTTTCTCATCCAGCTTAATATGTACATTTGTATATTCCCTTATTTTAACAGTGAAGCACTTAATAAAATTACTACAAGGTTTTATAGTTACATGCACACCACATCAGATCAATTGTCAAACTGTCAACAACAAAAAACAATGTTCTTAAATGCACTAATAAATCAGGTCATTATTATCAATAAAATCCAGGAGTGCGAATCTCTGTTTAGTAATTCAATAGTAAAAATAAACCCAAATGCATTTCGGTAATTTCAATTGTACTTACATAAGTGTACTAAACTGGGCCAAATCCGATGGAAAAAATTAACAAAATTATTCAACTGTGATATCGAAGTAAAAGGTAAAATGTTGAACACAAAAAGCAATGACCAAAAACTAGTAGAAAACAGGTGACTTAAATGTTTAGAAACAAAATGTGCTGTTCTTGACACTCAAACTTATCAAAAATGCATGAACTGACCTTCAAATTTACTGAATGACAGATTTACCAATCGTAACCTCTAGAACTAGACTGTTGAACTAAGTGGATTTGAAGCTCCTCAAGGTTGAAGAGATAACCTGTACTATATAAAAAGCACAGAACCTAAGACCTTAACGTTGTACGTATTAATTTTGTAGTCCAATGAGAAACCTACTCATTCCAGATATATCCAACAAACTCGTTTAAAAAAAAACAAGATGTGGATTAAATCCAGAATATTCTGAGCACCTTAACCAACAATACAAGTATGTGTCGGATGCGATTCTCTCAAAATCCAAATCTTGCTTCAGAATTGGCTTGCATCAGCGCCTGAATTATTGATAGGAATCAAAGTAGTTGAACGCATCAACCGCTTAACTTGTCTCTGAACCTCATCACTCCTGATAGTCTAGTGTCTGACGAAATCTCGACATGGAGAGATATCTGTCCCTTAACCAAAGGAAGATCCTACTGCACAGCAATTCGCTCCGTTCGACTTTGTGGGTGTGAAACATGGACATTAAGAATTAAGTATTCGATCGTAGTATCTTCGAAGCATTGATCGTGTATCTTGGAATCACCGAGTGAGCAATACCTGAGCATACAATACGGTATTAAGTAAGGATGGGAGATCAATCGATGAGGTAGTCAATCTTCATCAACAGAAGTGACTGGGTATTCGTAACACATGTCCCAAATATCACTTACATCGATGGACGATGCTGTGTGTTGTTGGGACTAGATAGGTAGAAAACAAGTAGGGACGGTCAAACCAAAACATCTCATCAGTCCATGAAGTCACTGACAGTTGGATTAAGCCATATTAACATGTGTAGACCACCTTGTTGGGGTCTGTGTAATTATCGAAACGAATGTTCAGAGACTTTGAATGAAGTGGCCCAGAGTTGTTTGCAGTAGTTCAGCTTCCTACATTCTGTCTTCTCCTAGATTCGGACCCTCTAAATTCCTCACAATTCTCCTTATTTCACTAATTCATATTTCCTTAGATGCCTGATCTTTTCTGTTAACACTGATATTGTTACTACCTCTACTATTTCGGGATTCGGACTGACAATTTCATCTCTTTTTACATACGTATACGTACCAGGTCCTACATCGTGACTAACTGACCGACTGAATTTCATTTTCAACGTGATAATATAACATGCTGTTTTCCATTTACCTCTCAGTTCTTTTGATGTGTTAATCTCTCACCCTATTTGTAGAGTTATTGTAAATGTACACGTGTACTGTTTCATTGAATCAGTCTTCTTTGGTGTCTACCAATCCATCTTCTTCATAAAATTTGTTCTTTGGGGAGTAGCCGAAGTTAGAAAAGGAAGGCAGTTGTGAAATGCAGGTAGCGAAGCATAGCTAGTAGCTATTCATATTTTCTCTTAATATCCCACCATATATGAAACATCCGAAATTTTATTTGCAGGAAATCCTTAAAATGTGTTTATTCAGCCTCATATTTTGTATGTGGGCTTGGATGCTGACCCGGTGCCCAAACTCAATCAGGTGTTTTTCTTAGGAAGGCCACTACTGAGCCTCGGTCACAGATGTTTAATCTACAAAGCACCGAAGTAATGTTAAGGGATAAGTTCATATGGTTTCCGGCGACTGAGAATTGGTCTATACGCCATTCGTTCCCTTAGAATCCTGGAACTCATATGTACTATTGCAAATAATGCACATACATGTTACAGACGTTCAACTACATGAGCACATGCATACTATTCATAAAAGCGATTCCTACTTATATTTTCTCAATGAAGAAAAAGCCTAATGCTTTAAAGAATATAAATTCACTGACAATGATAAATAACTTATGAAGTCAGTCATAACACTTCATCTTTTCCTATTATTTAAAACATCAGGTGTTATAACTAACCATGAAATAAAAACCGTATGATTTTTTAATTAAATTAGAAAATATAACAATAAAGACATAAAAATCAATAGTAGATGAATAAACAAAACAACAACTGTTTTTTGAATCAACTAATCAGTTAAACAGAAAAAACAATGAATACCCTTATTTATTGTTAACATGAATCCAAAAGAAAAATAATAATACTGATTAGAAAATCCTTAATTTAAATGTGTTAGAGTTTAAGAATAAAAGTGCATTCTAATTCACCTTGTAAGGTCATTCCCACAAAATTCTCTAAGTATCTGAAGTCTACAAACAAAAACGAAACATGTAGACAGTATGTTTATTGAGATTCATCGGTAAGGTATGTTTATCTGTCTGAAGGAAACTAAGGTTATTTGAACTCAACGATACAGTCGAAAATGTTCTTGTTAAACTATTTAAATCCTATAAGAATCTATGAGAAACTGATATTCTATGATTTAGTTAACAGGTTACAATATACTCGTTGATCAATAGACTTTTAACGGTACTTTAGTATTGAACTAATTGTAATCAAATAACTGACTGAAATCCTATTCAAATGACTAGTAACATGTTCAGTTTAGAAAAAAGCACTGGCATAGGGTATTATGAGAAGAAATATTTTTTTATATTTGACTTTACTAACTGAAAATTGATGAAGCAAAGGGAATAAAGAGTGAAATTAAAAATATTTGAAGCCCTCATTATGATTCAAAGTAAAAGCAAGATTTAAAAAAGAAAGATAATTACATGTGAAAATTATATTTGAAATATTCTCAGAGATTGAAATTTAAATAATTCCAACGTTTCGTCCA